TTTATTCCTTTCCAAATCGCGTCGATAGAACGCGTCCGCATGAATTAATTAATATCACCGTCTCAGGAAGAGACGCAGCTGCTATACAGTTTCTCGACGATGAAGCGGCACATTTCTCTTTCTTTCTTTGTGCACAAAAGTCAACCGTCTCGACTCGCTTTCTAGAGCCTTCAACCTCAGCGTCACCTTACCCCGGTGTCAACTCATCTTCAATATTTGATTTCAACGAATACCACGACCTACCTCTCTTCTTCCGATTATACAGGCCCACATAGGACTTCCGTTGCCATTGTCAGCTCATGCTTCAATCCTGAAATATCATATCCTTGACGGAACGGGAATTCAGAACCAAAGACCAAACCAGCATATGTCGGACAACTCTGATAGCGAAGGCGGCCTTGTTGGGGAGCTTCTTGCCAAGTTCAAGAGCGGCCCTGCTGCTCGCACTTCGGAAGCGCCTCAAGATGGAAGAGCCTTGAAAGAGTCTGGAATGCCAGAGATCAAGGCATCTGAAGATGATTTCCCACCTCAGCAAGATTCACCAGAACGCGATTTGATCCAAGAAAGTCCTTCAGAGCTTCAGCTACCGCGGCCTGTCGTTGAGGTTCCACTTGCCCCCAGCAGTGTTATCGAGGACTGCGACTTCCTACCTGGACACTTTGAAGCTCTCTACATCATCAGTGAGGAGGTTTCTGAGACAGAGGGCGGGCTTCTGTATCGTGTTAGGCTGAAAAGTGGCGAGATCCAAAAGGTATGTTGCACTTGCAACCTTTTTGCCCGCGTATCGTGTAACTAACCGTCCGATCTCTCAGGCCTCATCCGAGCAGCTTGAAACTCTCAAAAATGGACGGCAAGCCCTATCGAATTTCTTCCAATACGGCCCCAATGAATCAGCCTCATCTCAATTCCACGAAACATCGGAAGAAGACTCGGACTTGTCCGACGCAAGAAAGCGGACCAGGAGAAGTATTCAGCGATCCACCCGGGCTAGAAATACTGGGTTCACAGCATTCTTCGGAGATTTGAGTAGCGATGAAGAGATAGGTCACCCACGACGAGGAAGTTATTCTTCCAGTGAAAATATTATCGCATCATCTGGTACAAGAACAAGGGGGCGTCGCATGTTACGAGCTCGAAAGAGTAAGTCGCGCTCGGAGATCCTGCTATCGGACGAAGAAGACAGCCGCCGTAGTACCCCAGTAGGCACGCGTCAGTCGACAAGGACTCGAAAGGTTTTACGGAAGAATCTGCGTGAACGGAATGAGGACGAAATTTCCGAGAATGAGGGCACACCGAAACATCATGAAAAGTACTTCGGTGCCAAAGAAAAGTTTCAGAAGATGCCGGAAAATGATCCTTTCCGAGAAAGACATCGCGGCGCGTGCAAGAGTTGCCATGTCATTGGAGATGATTATGCGAAAGGGCCTCTCGTATTCTGCCAGGGATGTACCAGCAGTTTCCACCATTCATGCTTGGGTCCTCGGGCTGCCCGAGACCATCTTGTTACTAAAGTCACCGAAGACTTGTTTGTCCTTCAATGCCGCAATTGCCTGGGAGTCGCTCATTCGAAAGACCCAATTGTTCCTCATCAGGGCTATTGTGCTATCTGCAATCGCGAAGGGAACATGTCAAGGCCACTGCGGGATCGTCTAACGCCGAAGCAGGAGCAACAGTCTCGGCAGCAGAACGGTGGGAAGGATCCTATAACTTTCATCGATATGTCGCGGGTCAATAATGTGGCTAATCTACTATTCCGTTGCACTACTTGTCATAGAGCCTTCCACTTCGAGCATCTATCTGACGTCGCTCATCTTACGTGGCATTGCCAGGACTGTGCTTCAGTACCGGGAGAAGTCGGTGCTATAGTTGCCTGGCGACCAGTCGATCCAAAGGCGAAAACCGCGAAAGAAGCGGAGCGGGAGTATCTTATCAAATGGAAGAATCAGTCCTACGGCAACGCGACCTGGATGCCTGGAAGTTGGGTCTGGGGCTTTGTGAACCATATCATGCGTCGGGCCTTTCTTAAGAGGAACCTCGCACCGCAAAGGACTATTGAAGAAGCTGTCCCGGAGGACTACTTGCGCATCGATATCATCTTCGACGTCCGTTATTCTAGCTCATCGCCGCCTGGAGAAAGCAAGCAGCGGTCCTATGAAACAGACCTGGAGCGAATTGACAATGTGTCTCAGGTATATGTCAAATTCAAAGGCCTTCCGTATGAGGATGTAGTCTGGGATACGCCTCCTGATCGGAGTGATGCAGAGAGATGGGAGGACTTCAAAGCTGCTTTTGCGGACTGGGTCAAACGGGAATATGTCCGTCAGCCGAACCAAGAAACTTTAAGGAGACATCTGGCCAAGAAGAGAAAGAAGAACTTCCAAATTGATCTGGTCAAAGACCATCAGCCCACCATTATGACGGGTGGTGAGATGATGGACTACCAACATGATGGTGTCAATTGGCTCTACTACATGTGGTTCAAACAGCAAAACGCTATTCTTGCCGACGAGATGGGTCTTGGAAAGACAATACAAGTCATTGGCTTCATGGCTACCCTGATTCAGTACCATAGATGCTGGCCTTTCCTAGTGGTGGTGCCTAATTCCACCTGTCCCAACTGGCGCAAGGAAATCAAGTCATGGGTTCCTTCAATGCGGGTGGTGACATACTACGGGTCTGCATTTTCTCGCAATCTTGCCAAAGAGTATGAGATGTATGCTGATGACGATCCTACTCTCCGGTGCCACGTCGTCGTGACTTCGTATGAGACGATGGTTGATGATGCATCCCGCAGATTCCTGGCAAAGATTCCCTGGGCCGGCTTGATTGTTGACGAAGGCCAACGGCTCAAGAATGACAAGAGCCAGCTTTATGAAGCACTGTCGCAAATCAGATTTCCGTTCAAGTTGCTTTTGACCGGAACTCCGCTCCAGAATAACATCCGAGAACTATTCAACTTGCTTCAGTTTTGCGACCCGTCAAAGAAGGCCTTTGACCTCGAACAAGAGTACGGCACGCTTTCACAGGAGAATATTACAAAGCTGCATGAAATGCTACGGCCTTTTTTCCTGCGACGGACAAAAGCGCAAGTGCTCACGTTTCTTCCCCCAGTTGCCCAGATTATTGTTCCGGTCTCGATGTCTGTGGTACAGAAGAAACTATACAAATCTATCCTTGCCAAAAACCCTCAATTGATCAAGGCTATCTTTCAGCGCAATGGGGCAAAGGCTTTGAAGCAGGCCGAAAGACATAACCTGAACAATATTCTCATGCAATTGCGCAAATGTCTGTGTCATCCATTCGTCTATAGCAGAGCCATCGAGGAGAGAACTGCTGATAGGATGAAATCTCATCGGCACTTGGTGGATGCAGCTGGTAAACTTCAATTGTTGGAATTGATGCTCCCGAAACTCAAGGATCGTGGCCATAGGGTCCTCATTTTTAGTCAGTTCCTCGAAAACCTCGACATAATCGAGGATTTCCTCGACGGAATGGGTTTACCACATCTTCGCCTCGATGGTAGAATGACTTCGCTCGAGAAGCAGAAGACGATCGACGATTACAACGCACAAGATTCGCCCTACTTCGCCTTTCTTCTCTCGACTCGGTCTGGTGGAGTGGGGATCAACCTGGCTACTGCAGATACTGTGATCATTATGGACCCGGATTTCAACCCCCATCAAGACATGCAGGCGTTGTCGCGTGCTCATCGGATAGGGCAAACGAACAAGGTTCTTGTCTTCCAGCTTATGACCCGGAGCAGTGCCGAAGAGAAGATCATGCAAATAGGCAAGAAGAAGATGGTCCTAGACCACGTTCTTATTGACCGCATGGTGGCGGAAGAAGATGACGGGCAAGATCTTGAGTCTGTGCTCCGTCATGGAGCTCAAGCCTTGTTTGATGACGATGACTCTGGCGATGTACGATATGACTCTGAGTCTGTCGATAAGCTCCTTGATCGCAGTCAAGCCGAACAAGCTAAGGCGCCCGTTGAAGGTGACCCGGAGTCCCAATTCAGCTTTGCTCGGGTGTGGGCAAACGATAACCAGAATCTGGAGGATCGCCTCCAGGAGATGACTGAGCAGACTGAGCAGACTGTACCCAATGCTGACATCTGGGACAACATTCTGCGCGAGCGAGAACAAGCTGCAGCCGAGGAAGCCAGGCGAAAAGCGGAGACATTTGGTCGTGGAAAGAGGAAGCGTACCAATGTTGATTACGGCAAAACTGCCAGGGAATCGTCCCCCGTCGATGATCATATAATGCGACTAGCAGACAGCGACGGAGAGTACCAGGTCGAAGACGCCGTTGACTCCGAGTCTGACTTGGCCCCTGAGCTAGACCGTGATGAACTGGCCATCATCCCCAAAAAGACTAAAAGTAAGTGCCCGATTCTCCTTCAATTGGGGTTATTCGCATTTCGCTAATGCAAGCCACAGCTCGAGAATTCGAAAGAATTGCTCCCATCAACTTGCCGCTCGCCATGGATGGCAGTGCGGAACCTAACCAAACTCAGCAACCCACTTGTATTGCATGCAAGCAGGCTCACCCAGTTGGTTCCTGTCGCTTGAGGTTGGCTGGTGTTGAGCATTGTCCCCTCTGTGGTCTTGCCCACTATGGTTATTCGCGCACATGTCCTCATCTGAAGTCTGACGCACAAGTCGCCAGGATGCTGGATGCTATAAAGCATAGTACTGAGGACAGGGAGCTCGTTCTCCTAGCGAAAAAGTATCTGACTGGTATTCGTGGCAACCTTGCACTGCGCAAGAGAAAAGAGGCCAGTAAGGCTGCAGCAGGCGGTGCGAGTCTTCCTGCCTCCACCCCTGTTGCAACCAGCTCCCCCGTCGTTAACCTCACTACTGAAAATCGCATGGGGCCAGCTGGTCAAGCATTGATGAATCCCGGACATTCTTTCCCTTCATCTACTCATGCATCTCAACACCATCCTACCAACGGGGTGTAAATTTAACAGTTCATCGAGAGGGTCAGGATGCAGCAGGAAGCAGCAGGAAGCAGCACATGGCGGTGGTGGTTTTGTGATTTTGTTCTCTTTCCATAGGGATTGATTCAGCGTTAGTTGCCTCCGGGGTCTCGGAGTTCGTGATATCATAGCATTGGCAGGAGTTGCATGAAAAAGCTATGTAATTACATTTTGTTTAGAGAAAGCAACTGGAATGGACCTGAGGCAGACAAATCGGGGGTCACATGTTCCTTCCTGTTTGGCTCCGGTTGGTTCAAACCAGAACATCCCGCTGACTGCATCTCGTTTGTGGATATCAAATTCAGGACGGAACTCGAAGTAGACTTCATTCCGTTTGTTGCATCCTCCTCCTTTTTCCGCGCATCGCGTACTGCGCATTTGCAGAGATTTTTCGCAATACCGTTTGTGGATAATGCTGATTTGCTCATTCGTTGGATCGTTCGTGTCACCAACGTCACCCGCCGATATAATCGTTACTTACTCCCTCCACGTTGCCAGCAGACCGCATCGAGGCTTATCAGACACATTGTGTCAATCTCAGGACTGGAAACGAAGTATGGGTCGCTCCTATTAGGTGACACTCTGTCAGGGACAGCACGGGCAAGCAAAGAATGCCTGTGTATCAACATTGATCCTTGACCATTGACCATTGAATTCGTTCCGGATTCAATTGATGCAGAGAGAAAGCATGGTTTAAGTCAAGAGGTATGAGGATGGAGGGAATCAGTCCGGTACGAGATATCACCCAGAGGCTGAATTTATCGAAGAGACAGCAATTGCACCTTTTCCACAAGAGCGGACCAAACCCCCCATAACATGCGACCAGCGAGGAGGCTGCAGCCATCCGGGACGGTTGTACTGGCGAGCATCATCGGACAAACACTGACGGCATTTAGTCATGGCTGGATCTGGACCCTGCGACTGCTCTTATCCTCTGCGGAATCTTCGCGCTGGTATTTCTTTTTCTTTTTTCTGGTCTTTTGCCAATATTCGGCCGGTTGAGAATCTTTTGATTTGCATTGGATTCTCTGGGCGGCGAACATTAGATGTGTTCTCAGACTGGCTTTTTATACTCCTGTTCCTGTCGCTTCTTTTTTGCGTGACTGTTTCTGCAGGGCTGTTAGTGGATGACACCAATCTCTGCAAGCTCACACGCCTAGGTTGCTCTTGTTCCTGGAGTGAATGGTGTATCGTTCTCTGTGTGGTGTTATCAACCCCTGTTACCAACGCCTGTCTCAGTGAATGTTAACTCATTTTTTGCTGGCCAGTGATTCACCGATCTTTAACACGGTCTTCCTTTCTGTTTATTTCTTTGGATCCTCTGCTCTCTTCTTTTCTTTCTTAATCTCTTCGCTGTGGTTGTGTTCTCTTTACTTCCATCCCTCTACTTCTAGCTCTCCACCATTCATCCTTACACTCTTTCCTTTCCCATCTCTCATGGCGATATACTTCATCTTCTAGCATAGGTTATATCGCTTCCTGACGCTCAGCTTCTCATCCGTCTATCCCTGCCGAAGACTGAGTTGCAAGTTGGCGCTGCCAAGCAGCCATGTCTTCGCCGATTCGCCCTCAGTTTTTCTGTACTCGCCCAAATGGCACCCTCACTCCCCTGGTTGCTGTCGACGAGCTGCCCTCACATATCTCAATCCGCGGTGCTCCCCGTACCCTCTCGCCAAGCGAAACTCAAGGCATGACTAGTCTGGGTACTGTGAGCTCTAGATTGCAATTCTATGTCCTCGAGGGCGCTCTCCCACACACAACTCGCGCGTCGCCCGGTACCGCACCTGGACATCGTTCCCGCGACAATGACGTGCAGGCGACGCTTATGAATCTTGCTTCCGATGAAAATATACCTGTTAGCCAGAGAGTTGCTATCAGTACGCTACTGCAACATGGTGTATCTCAGAACTGGTTTGCGACACCTTCCTCGTCCAGCGGCTGGCTGGTCCCAAGCAGCAATGTGAATCCCCAAGGAAACGGTATTGCTAGACAGGTACGTGTTACTCTACATGCGATGCACTGGAAAGAAGCCGAGTTCCAAGGTAACGAGTTTGATTAACCCTCTTGCAGAGCCCCCACTACAACTCGAAGAAAGAGTACTGCTCCTATTGGATCCGTCATGGCGAATGCGACTATCAGCAACAAGGTGAGGGGCTCATGTTACATTTGGTCAGCATAAATCTAACACTCGCCATAGGATGCCTCTATAAGCATGAAATGCCTCACGATTTGTCCATGCTAGAGAAGCTTGGTCTGCGCGACATCCCTCGCTGGTACCGCGATAAGTTCAATATTCCCAGCCTACTTCCCAATGGGCATGGACATCCTCGTACCCCCCTAAGCCATACACTCCCTGCACCCGATGCTGGTTCCTACAGCAGATCGCTTCCCTATCACCCGCGCATGGGTATGAATGAAGTGCTTGACGCGCCTGAGATAAAAAAGGAGCCTGAACAGGAATTTGCTGCAAACCAGCTCTCCATCCAGCAATCTTCATTGGGATTTCCTGGTGCCTCGCGACTCGCTTTGCCGGCTACGGACGCAGCGAAAGCTTCTAAGACTCAGAGGATAGAGCAAAAGCACACTCCCAGTTCCAAGAGTGTGGCTCTTAGGAAGCTCGATCTTCTGTCTTTTGATCCGCTCCCGGAATTCAAGGAATATTCATCCTTGAGGCCTGCCAACGGAAACAACTCGCCTGCTTGTGACTATTCACGCCCGCATGAGAGTACTGCTTACAAGAACGTTGTTACCGATCCTTTTGAAGGCACTTGCAGAGATTCGCGTGGAAGTTTTGGCCGTATCCCACCTTTCCTACCTGCCTCTCTTGGTATGAATCCGTGCCAGGGTTCAAGTATCTTACGGGATGCTGTACCTCAGGGACGTTCCAAGAAGACCCATAGGTCCCGTCGTTTGTATCAGCCTCGATCACAATTCCCATCGGATGATCCAAACTCTGAAATGGAGGAGCGAGTCGCTGGGGCGAGCTATTCTAGCCAGGCCACTCTTCCGTCAAATTGTGCATCGCCTGCCTCGAAGGTCACATTTGGGACTTTCGGATCTCTCCAGACGCATGCTAACCCGAGTCTCATGCATGGATGTGCCGCATCCGAGCCGCCTACTCGAGATGCCTCCCCTTCTACACACTCCAGTACTGCGTCGTCGGAGTCCAGCCCTGGAAAGCGTCGCAATCGCGTCAAAGGCAAGAGCCACAAGCCCAATTCCGGGACCATTGGTCAGAAGATTTATCGCCAGCGCTCTGTCGGATCTTCCGAAGATGAATTTTTCGGCGGATTGTCCATGGAAGAGGAGAAGTAAATAGAGACTCTACTAGGTGAGACCGGAAGGTGCCCACACGTCTATGGTCTGAGGCTTTCTTCTACTTGATCGGAAACCAGCTGTTTGTTGTTCCCCCATCACACATAAATATGCGACTTTGCGGCTTTTCCAGGTGCTACGATGCGAATTACTATGATATGCTACACGGGATCTCCTTTGCGAAATAAATATACCTTTTCTGTCTCAAAAGGAACGGAGGACTCCCCCACTTGACTTGACGTTGACGTTGGAATGAGAGAAAATGGAGGTTCTGTTCGCCTACTACTACTACTACTAATCTAGCCTTGAAGGCGAAACTTGTATCTGAACACACACAGTGCTTCTATCCCGGCGCCGTTCGCACATCATATGTATGCTGTCAATACTATGTTGGCTTTGTTTTTCTCATTTTCTGATTTCCAAGTTTCCTCTTTTCCAGTTTTCATTTTCGTTGCCTCTACCCCCCTCTCTTGTTCGGAGAAGACACGGTCTCGTGTGCGAAATGTAATATAGCAGAGGTCATGTCTATATTTGGATGGGAGTTGGGCGGAGGCGATGGATTTCGAACATGTGAAATATGGAGCACAGGCATGCCCTGATGCAATGAAACAGCCCTTGAGCTTTGCAGATGCACATCACTCATGGAAGATCTCGAACATAATAACTCTTTGGAGATGCCGTAAGCACACACACCTTTGTACTCTTGTAATTCGCGAGGTCGCTCGACGGAAACACAACCAAGCCCCGCTCTCTGTGCCATACCTGTGGAGTTTGAATGAACCCTCCTGTGCTATATCTGTGAAGATGGAATGAAGTATAATACATTGATATGATGAATCTAGTACAACCGTGCAGAAAAGAGCAAATTGCGCCACCCTGTTTTGATCTGAGCTTACAGAGAAGTTCCGGGAAATTAAGACAAGAAGACAGGACCGGAAGAAAGAAAGGAAACCAGAAGAAGAAAAGAGCTCCATGACAAGACACATCATACACACATATACACCCCGCAAATGATTCCTGATCCTCACACCCGCAGGCGCGCGTGCGCGCATTAATCATCAGAATCTTATGTGTACGCCGGGGGGATTGATTCCCTGAGCACGTCCACCACCGCCACTATCACCACCTCCTCCTCAGCGCATTCTACGCTGCGGAGGTCTAGCACCGACCCTCACACCGACCTTCGCGCCCTTCTGGTCCTCCTTGCCCGAGAGCCTGGGCATGGCGGAGGTCAGCGCGGGCAGGGACTTGATGGCCTCGGAGATGATCTGGTTCCCGTCGACGACGGTGTCGGGGAGTTGCTCCAGCTGCTTGCGGGCCTTCTGGGCGGCGCGCCTGGCGTCGAGCTCGCGGCGGCGCTCGGGGGTGATGGCCCACTCGTCGGGGAAGCGGAGACGGGTCTTGGGCTTGTGGTGGCGGAGGTCGAGCGGGACGTCGGCGAAGCTGTCGCCTTCCTTGGCCTCCTTGAGCAGGGACTGGATCAGGTCGCCCAGGTAGCGCTTGTTCTGGGCGCGGTGCTGGAACTTCTCGCACGACATGCGCACGATGTCGGTGTCCGGGTTGTAGCGCACGCCGACCAGCTTGAGGAAGGTCTGGCGCTGGGCCTCGGTCAGGTGCTTGGGGGTCAGATCCTTGGAGGCCAGCTCGACCACGACCTTGTGCTGGGCCGGGTGCTCTTCGCCCATGTAGGTCGTGTACCGGAAGCGGAGGATGTGGGTTTCGGGGGGCAGGGTGAAGGGTTTGGCGAGTTCTGCGAAGGGGGATCTGGGGTTAGCGCTTTTTCTTGTGGGGGGTGCTTCGTTTCTCAAGCTGGGAGGTGGGGGATCAAAGTTGAAGTAGAAGAATGGCAGCCCCCCCCCCCGCCTCCTCCCAGGAGTCAACGAAAGACAAAAGGGAAGAAGAGTTAAGTCATACTGCTCAATGACGGCATATCCCAGGCGGCGATCCGCGCGTATTCTCTGATCTCACGGTGTTCTTCCAGCTCGGCATAGGCCATGGTCGTCATGTCGTCGTCGTTGAATTCGTCGTCCATATCCTGCACCAGACCGAACTCGTCGGGCTCCTCCTCCGACCAGAATCCGTGCGTGTATGCTGCTTCCGCAAAGCGCCAGGGCTGTACTTGCTTGTCAATCGCGGCGATTCTCTGGTCGATCTGGGCCATCCGGGCCTTGCGTTTTTCCGGGTCGTTGAATTCAGCGATCATGCTCGTGTTCGCCTTGTCGAAGGCCGCGCGGTCTTCCGGGGACATCATATCGTACAGGGACCGCTGCTCCGGAGTCAAGTTCTCGGGCGAGTACTCCGGGAGATTGGGGTAATCCTCCAGGCGCCGTGGGCGAACCTCAGGGATGACCGGGTCTTCGGGCATGCAGGAGAGCGGCGTGGCGGAGAAGGAGCGGTAGGAGGGGTTGGCGATGGGACCTCTTCGGGCCAGGGAGAAGGCCGAGCGGCCCAGAGACCTGGCTACTGAGGCCATTGTGAGGGGAGGGGGAATGGAATGGAGGGGGAGTTGTAGGCGGAGGATTAGAGGGTTTCAAGGTTGGATGTTTTTTTTGATGGAGATGGGATTGGATGGGATTGGATTGGGAACTTCTTTCTTTCCCGGGCCCGCAATCCACTATCCCCTTTGGGGAAGGCGGCCCTTTCACCGCCATCCAAACTGCCGGACATTCTTGACTCTATGCGAGTAAGTAGTAAGTCCGCTTCGCATCTCATCATTTTCTATGAGTACGTAACAAACATAATTAACTGACACTTGCAAAGATATGTCATGAGTTACCACTATTAACTAACTGACTGTTGGTCAATTCCATTCACATCAAGCCTAAATCAGGCATGCATGACTTTGTCTAGCTGGCTGGTGCCTAGTCACAGTGCTGATAATCGCTGATCATCAACTTCCTGGTTCCCACTTCCGTTGCATCGATCCACCTATCCTACCATATACAAATCATGCTGAGTACGTCTACCATGGCGATGCAAGACCAGCCCCTGAAGTTCTGCTTCGTGACTGTGGGAGCTACCGCTTCTTTCAACCTCCTCATTCAGTCGGTTCTGGAGCAAACCTTTCTACGTGAGCTGCGTGCACACGGTTACACCAACCTGCTGGTCCAGTACGGCAAAGACGGCAACACCCTCTTCGATGAATTCCTGCGCCAATTTCCCCCGGGTAGTGAGGGCCAGCACGGTCTGCTGATCGACGGATTTGACTTCAACCCCGACGGACTGGACAATGAAATGCGTCTTGCCAAGGCACGGCCCTCGGAAGGCCGAGTTGGTGGGTTGATTATCAGTCATGCCGGTATGGTTGCAGCCTTGCCGATGGACTTCACAATGCGCGAGCTGACCGCCATGAATCCTAGGCTCTGGCAGCATTATGGATGCATTGAGACTGGGCGTGCCTCTTGCGGTGGTCCCGAATCCGACCCTCAAAGACAACCACCAGCAGGAGCTGGCCGATATCCTCCAGGAGCAGGGTTATCTCATTGCGAGTCACTATCAGTAAGTTCTTCAGTCTCTGCTTTCTTGCGTGGTGGACGTCGAATTGAACTCCGATTAGGGATGTTGCGATAGCAGTCGATAGGGCTGAACGCCTGCGAGTTCAGATGGCCAAGTGGCCGCCGGTCTCCAAGGCCCAGGAAATCCCTCCGCCGAGCCTGGATCAGGTCATGTCTGACGAATTGGGTTTCTTGGATTGATTGTTTTTCACAGCCCAGTATCTCTTACTCCTCATCGCAAATGAACTGTTGTTGAGGAACGAATTGCCATGGCGTTACGGGGCGTGGGTGCTTTAGTATAGAAGAGGAATGAGATGGCTTTGGACGGTTGCAATCACCAATGGCGCATTAGCATCCATAGTTGAGGACTTGTTATTTCGCTCCGCTAATGATGAACACGTTCATCATTTATTCATCCTCTCAAATTTGAACCCGAGGTACGTAGTATGGAAAAAGGATACCTAGTAGGAGGAAGTCGAGGATTGGTGGTGGAGTGGCCCAAGCTTCTCCGCGCGGGCAGATCCAACTAAACCGACTGATTGGACTTATGAGTACTCCGTACTTTCTTTCCCCTTCCCCGAAACGCGCAAAAAGAACCAGCACCGACTTTCTTGTCCTTTTCTTCTCCTTGCTCTTTCTCCCTCCCACGCATTGTTCTTCTACCATCTATGTCCTTGGAACACTATATCTCACAAAATCAAACGTATTCCGACCGATTCTTTTATCTCACTAGCCATTAAAATCGGCCGCGGGGGCCTTCCACTGCATATAAACAATCGACGGCCCAAAACACCCGCTCCGAACCTCAACCAGCGCTCCGTTTCCCCTTTCCAGCTTCCTCCCCACAATGGCAGAAGCCACCCTTCATAACGCCCCGATAGTCATTGACAATGGCAGCGGAACCATCCGCGCCGGTTTCGCGGGGGAGGAGATCCCCTCGTGCTTCTTCCCCTCGTTCGTCGGTCGGCCCAAACACCCGCGGGTGATGGCCGGTGGCCTGGAGGGCGACGTCTTCATCGGCTCCCGCGCTCAGGAACTGCGCGGCCTGCTCAAGATCCGGTACCCCCTGGAGCACGGCATCGTCACGGACTGGGATGACATGGAGAAGATCTGGCACTATGTGTACGAGAACGAACTGAAGACGCTGCCGGAGGAACACCCCGTGCTCTTGACGGAGCCGCCGCTCAACCCGCGCAAGAACCGCGATGCCGCCGCCCAGATCATGTTCGAGACCTTCAACGTCCCCGCGCTGTACACCTCCATCCAGGCTGTCCTGTCGCTATACGCGTCCGGCCGGACGACGGGCGTGGTCCTCGATTCAGGGGATGGAGTGTCCCACGCGGTGCCGGTGTTCGAGGGCTTCGCCATCCCCAACAGCATCCGGCGGATCGATGTGGCCGGACGGGATGTGACGGAGCAGCTGCAGCTGCTGCTCCGCAAGAACGGCCATGTGCTGCATACCAGCGCGGAGAAGGAGGTGGTGCGCATGATCAAGGAGAAGGTGTGCTACGTGTCGTTGGACCCCAAGCGGGAGGAGAAGGACTGGATGAACAATTATCACAAGTCGGAGACCAAGTCGGTGGACTATGCTTTGCCGGACGGGCACAAGATCAAGGTACGAGTTTGTGATGAGTGGGCGGGGCATGTTTTTTCTCTAATAGCTACGCATAGATCGGGCAAGAACGCTACCGCGCGCCGGAGATCCTCTTCGACCCGGAACTCATCGGTTTGGAGTATCCGGGAGTGCATCAGATTGTCCAAGATGCGATCACCCGGACGGATCTCGACCTGCGCAAGTCCTTGTACCTCAACATTGTCCTCTCTGGAGGCTCGACATTATGCAAGAACTTCCCTGATCGGTTGATGCGGGAGATCAAACGCTTGGCTGTGGAGGACATGAAGATCCGGATCTCTGCTCCTGCTGAGCGGAAATACACGACCTGGATTGGCGGAGGTATCCTCGCTGGTTTGAGCACATTCCGCAAGGTAAATTGCATCCCGCATTTGAATTTCGTTGGAGCTGTGGCTAACGAGGACCACCAGATGTGGGTGAGCGCGGACGAGTGGCACGAAGATCCTGAGATCATTCACCGGAAATTCGCTTAATCGTGAGGCATCGCAGGACGACGTCCCGACTGAGGACAACATGACATGATTGACGGACAACAATCCCATCGCGCAGAAGTCAGTGGATGCTTCCGAGGGCACGAATGACTAGTATGCACGAAGGGGATGGTTGTCTAGACAGGTCCCTGAAGAAGTTCGGGGCCAAACCATAACCAACAGCAGTCTTTTCATAGATACCCCTGCCCCTTTTCCAATTTCTGTCTTCGACACTCCAAACAAACTATCCACCACTTCCAAAACACCCCAGATGATACGTTTCGTGCATATCTTTCTCGACAACCATACAACCCATCACTTCTAAGTATGTCCCCTATGCACGCGCACGCGCACGCGTACACGTAACCGAGACGTGTTGCATTCGCACCCAGCTGTCACACCTCTCGGCTTGGCAAGTATCCTCACCTGGCTCTGCTGGGACGGATCATTCGCCAAGCCAATCGCAATTCGGGGTCTTCGGAATGAACCCTCACTGCTGCTGAGGCTGAGGAGTGACTTGAACGAGTAAATTGAGCGATGACAGTCCACATTCTTCTCCTTCTGCTCCTTGTCAGGTGGTCTCTCCAACCTCCGTTCTCTTCGACTGTACTTTTTGTGTAAATATTGAGTGGCATAGATGATATGAATGAGCGATTGACACAATTTCTTGAATGACAGCTGCATGGCACCTCTTCCCTTTCTTCGTCTGCGGCCTGCGACCCAAAGCCCAATAATGAGCATTGATTGAGCTCGCAAAGAGAATCCACCGGACTGTACATCTACCAACAACCAATCTGAAGGAGTAGATTGGGTGCGCATGGTGACACCAAGCCCTCGGTCCTCAAACCCACCCAATACTATACTGTACTATTCTATACTGTTCCACCATCTTGACGCCTCGATGCAGGGCAATCGCCGAACAGTCTAGTCTAGAAACAAGTCGCCGTGCTGTTGGGTCTACATGTTCCCGACCAATTGCGTGCGTGGGATCTCGTCTTGCATGAACTCCAGATACTGATATCAGGTGTCAGGTGTGTGCAGTACAACCTTCCTGAATGGATTGATTGGTTTCGTGTCATGACGAAACCTCGGGGGTATGCTGCTACTGCTACTGCTACTGCTACTGTAGTGTAAATCGAAAGAGAAGAGATGCAGTATACTATAGCTCCGTGATCGCCGAGACTAAAAGACCCCCAGTCAAGAAGTACAATACAGTGTCCTCAGGCAATCAGGCAATCAGGCAAACCCAGATAGATTTAACCTTGAAAACAGAATTAGAGTACCCTCCGTCGAGTCGGTGCTTCTTACCCACGTATAGGCTCTCCACCTCAACTCCAACATGCCACGACAAAGATCCCAATCCACTCCAAAGTTCGTTTATCCGCTCCCCCGTGAAGACGATCTCGATACCACAAAGACGACGACCACCACCACCACCACCACCCAGCTCATCAAGAGCGGCAATCATGCCCACAATTACGACGTCCCCAGCCCCGCCAAAAACCCACGCCCAAATTGTATGTATGTTATGACACCAATCCATCCAATATGTCACAGTATGAGCACAACACACCACAGCACAGACTCTAGACCACCTTCTAGAATAGAATCTAGACCCGACAACCCCCCCCCCCCCCCAAAACGCACTCGAACCTCGGGCACCTACTGGAAGGGCGAAAAGAAAAGACAGAGCGAAAGAGAAAGGCTTTCTTTCATGTCCTCATGAGTAACTTACTGTAGGTAAAGGTTAAGTAAGGTTTGGAGCCATTCCGAGGTGCTGACGTCTCCGCCTCCCGGATTTCCCGTCCTTCGTACGTACTTCGTACTCGAGTTGGTGAACAACTCGCGAGGTCTCCACTTCTGCGTAAGGGTTGGGTTTGTTTGCGAGTACGAATCTCTCTTCGTTTGTCCCCCGCACTCTGTGTTTTGTATGTGGGCATCGGTTTTGCTGGGGCTGTACTACTCTGGGGGGGCTGTGGTTATGCTTACAATAAGGGAAAGGAATGATTCTACAATGGAAGAGGGGGAAAAGGTTTTGCTTGTCTGTTCTTGTTTCCATTCCACACGCTCTGGGGAAAGTAGCTATCTAAAGGGGTTGTACAGGAGATAGTTTTCGTTTCATTTGTTCGTTCATATGTGAAGAATGAATGGTTGCATGGTCAGGTACATGAGCTTTGGCTTCGATTATGCTGCGCTGCGGTGGATGAGGATCCAGAATTGCTGTGTTGAAGTTTGGATGGCAGACAAGACAAAAGAAAAAAAAAATAGAAAAAAAAGTAGATGCCATGCGATCTTGATCCAGTACTGAATCAGCTTGCGAACATAGCGATTGGGGTATCATGTTGAAGAGATGTGAATGCCATTCGAAGGTTGAAGGTTTGAAATGTTGAGGTGAGAGTTCACACAAACTCATGCATGGAGTGTGAACGGTAGCACCCCTTGTTGGTTGAAGGTTCAAAAGAAATTAGATAGATGCGTAGTTGTGTTGAGAACAAATGCATGTAGAGGTCGAATCCCCCAGGCCGAAAGTAAGGCGGTAAAATCAAGAACTTTTTTTGTGGTGGGAGTCGTAAAGTCGTGAGTCATGATCCAGAAGGACAAGTTCGCAGGCGCTTTGGTGAACAAGCAAAGGCTGAAAATGAATAAGTGGAAAGTCGCAAAGGACGGCTTTGCTGGTGGTTGGTTTGGTTGTCGTCCCGGGCTGGCTGGCTTAGGCCATGCCCCGGAGCTTGCCCCAGCCCTTATTCAGACCTCGGAGAGCACGCTCGCGCGCGGAGCCAGAGCTACTGCTGGTGCCGTTGCTGCTGGCGGAGAACTTTCGCGACAGGCTGCTGGACGAGTCGTCGCTGAAGACCATGTTGCCGGCACCGCCGCGGCCGACGTGGTAGACGGGCGCAGCGCGGCGGAGCTCACGCTCCAACTCCTCGTCGAAGCTGAAGATGGCGCGCTCGCTGCCACTGTGGACGTTCCCGGCGCCGCCCCGGCCAGACTTGAAGGTGCTGGGCACACGCGAGTCGAGGCGCGTCATGGAAGCCGGCCCGGAGGCCGTCTGCGAAGGAGTGGTCTTGGTGCCCTTGAGGTTGATGACATTGCCGGCGCCTCCACGAGCCGTGTGCAGAGCGGGACGGCTGGTGTGAGGAACCGATGGATGCGGTTCAATGACTTGATATGATCCCGGCATGGTGGATTGTGTTGAGGTGTTGTATGTGGGTTGTGGTGGTGTGCGGGTATGAAGAGGTATGTATGCAATTGCGCTAATCGGCGATGACTCAATGCAGCGATGATGCAATGCGATGAGAGACAAGACGTGCAATTGGGACTCGAACTCGGTTTATATGCGAATTGGTATCGAGTCGAGGAGAGTGTGGGGTAGTGGGAGTGAATGGGTGAGGTGAGGATAAATATCCCACAGAGGCTGAACAGTGAAGTATGAAGTGAACGAAGACACACAGCAGGAACTGTGGTTAAAGTATATGATTCAAAGAAGAAAAAGAGAAAGAAAAAAAATTTCTTTTTTTTTCTTTTAATTTTTCTTTTTCCCTGATTGAAATCCACACCTTCTTTCAAGGATGTCGTGATGCTGGTACTGGACTAATTATCCACTATAGCCTCGACCCAGAGGTTGTGGCGGGGACGGAGTTATATAGAATGGGAGCAGCCCCCTTTGTGACGGCAGGACGACTCATGATTGCACCACGGGACAAGCCGAGTGAATTCAGTTGGAGAATTTCTGGGAATAATAATAATAATAATGGGAAGTTGAATTTCCCATTCCAGGCACCGCAAAAGAAAGAGCCAGCAAGAGCCAGCCAAAGCCAGCCAAAGCCAGCCCAGCCAGGATCACACGCGGTGGGAAGTGGAGCGCCAGCAAATTTTCTGCTGGAGAAAAACGAGTGAAAAAAGAGGTTGCCGGCTGAACCGCGCGCATAACGTCGGATGCCGAGGCGGCGCCTGTAAAAGCAGCAGCATTGAGGAACGTGTGCGCACTACGCAGAAGGGGCAGGACTGGTCGGGAAGGGATCCACCACAGCCAAAAACATCCCAAAACATCCCAAAACATCCAGTGCTGCTTTTACTCCTTGGGAATTGTCGCGATCATCTGACAAACCCGTTCCCACTCCCCGCGGGACTAAAACGTAACAGAAACTACCCGCTGCACCAATCAGCCGCAGACGCAACGCCCAGTGCAGTTTCCTGAGGGTAATGGAAATGGGCTGGTCAGTCACGCGTCATCGTCAAGTTCATTTCTTTTCAATTTGCTGCTCGGTTCTTTCCATTCTTTGCAGTTGTACTCGAGAAGTTGGTGAAGAGTCTATTGAAGTGTAAGCAGGGATGGACTAATTGTAAGTAAGGTAACAATTGCAACTATTTCAGTCTTACAGTTGGTTGGTTTTACAGTCTATCACATTGGCAATTAGGCACTCACTCTCTTGGTCTTCCTCGTGGCTCAAGGAGTGTTACTCCCTACTCCGGACTACTCATACCTACTAAATTGAATACTGAGTAGTTCTGGAATTGAGAGCATATTTTTATTCTGATTTTTCTCAAATTGATTACTATTAGTAAATAGTGTGGTGGGCAGGTGCAGACAAGCCACGCTAACCCTCATGGCTGGGCGCTGGGCTGCTGCTTTTCCCCGCAAAAAGCCATCGGAGGAACTGTACACTTGCATCATCGCTGTACATTCAGAATACTTTCCATACTTCCCATACTTACCATACTTCCCCCTCCTCTCGGTCACCTCAACAACGAGCCGAACAAGGGCGGAATGACCGCCAACCTGAGTACCCCTCGAGTACTGCGATTACGAGAGAAATAGCGCGAATGATGCCAGTTTTCAGGTAGTCATCCCACTGCAGGATGATGCTGATCAGGCACAACTAGCGGAATGGACGAGAAGAAGCTAATCCTGCCGTCGCTCGCAGCTGGAGAAGACGTTATTGTGCAGCAGCTTGCACCATTGTGTGTTCCACGTCCCAGCGTCCGTGTGTCAATGGAAAGGGGGAGAATCAAGGCATCACCGGATGTGGTGGTGGTTGAAGACTCGGTTTGTTGTTGATGTTCGAGACCATCGACGTTTAGTCACGTTAGCCCCGATTGATCGTGCGAAGATCATCCACCCGCTGCCCCTCTTGCTCGCTCACCGCCCTTAATGAAATTGTGTGATTCAGTCCACTCTCTGCCCATCATGCTCATAGCCTCATTTCTATTGGCATTGGTGAGCCACAGGAAGAGCCTTGCTGGCCAAGGCTAAGTATTGAGGCCATCGTTGTCGTCGTTGTCGTCTTCGTCTGCCTCATCAGGTGAACAGCTGGAAATCCCACCCAAACCGACTGGAGTCATCAGTCAACCCTGAGTAAGGATGGGCCGCTAGCCCCAAGAGGGACAGCTTCCCCAGAATTAGCAGAAAATTTTCCTGAAACGAGGTGACCGGCCCTGATGGAGAGGGGCCAAACGAAGGATGACGATGGGACCCCCCCCCCCCCCTTTCTCCTCGAATGCCAGAAATGCCTCACTGTGCCAGTGTTCCCAGTGTGCAAATTCACACAGTGCACTGGCCACTGATGCTATTTTCCTCTCCTCCCAGGGGTATGAATTTTTCACCCTTTCCCCACACGACAAGGCTGCTGCTTAGTCACTTTCCTGGGCCAGACTGGCGGTTACTGCGAGTGACACTTGGCGCTGAGAGACATCTCCAACTCTCCAACCGTCTAAGGGGGAGGTGGGAGGGGAAAGGGGGCGCATAACCCCTCGGATTGTCGGATTGTCGATAGTAGTGCATGGATGTGTAAATTGCATCAAGGCATCAAGACATCAAGACATTTCCAGCGAGATTCTGGTTCCTGAATGGCCATGACAACCGAGCCGGTCCAGCCGGCAAATCACCGGCTCCGTATGCATTGCTGGCCTGAGGCGGTAAGGCGGCAAGGCGGCCACGGGAACGGTTCCATCTTCCAAGGAGGTTCGACTTGCTTCTTCCCCGGATTTTCCTGCCGGCATGGCTTGTTTCATCAGTCAGCATTTCTTCCTTTCTTGCCTGTCTCTTCTGAGGAAATAATCTTTCCTTCCCCTCTTTTCCCCGCTGCGAAGCATGACGTCCCCAACCAAACTTCACCTTCCTCTGGCCTTCCGGATCTTTACTCCGTAGCGAGGTCATTCTCCAGCCCTCGGCTGATGCTGGATCACATTTTCTCCAGGTGCTGGAAACGCCGACTACGCCGATTTGTGGGTTCAATGCCAGCACCTGATCATTACAATTCCCGGACTCCCCGCGGACAAGGTCATGAACCACTCCTTGCCGTCCCTTGAATCTGGGGTCAGAGTGATACGTGTTGAGATCCAATTTTGGTCCTCAAGTACGCGAGAGGCAAGAACATGATGACTCACGGGACCAACCCTTCTGCCAGTGGCCACTTTGTCAAGCCCTTCCCCCAGCTGAGGTGCAACAATCATCCAAGGAACAACCTCCGGGGCCCCGGACTATCTCCTCTGTTGCCCTGATGATCATGAACAATCCTAGCCAATTGAGACTCCTTCATTCACCGCTTTTCGAGGGATTTTGCATGGTTGGATATCCCTTTTCGTTTATTTGGTCTTCTGGCAATGCAAGGTGCCTAACAGTCGAGTCTCGGTTGGGCCTCGATCTCAATAGAGGATCTCGTTGTAAGAGCAAGAAATCGAGGGTCATTTGAGCTTTCTTCCTTGGTCAAAGTGACTATTGTGGCTCGCTTCTCTGAGACCCCGAGAATTACGACCTTGTTGTAGACATAGGTAGTGGCACCAATTGTGAGTCAACTCTACCAATTACTGATGTCTATATTGGCAGCCTGCGAGACTGATATCTGGTCGGCAAGTCAATTCATCATCTATGCGGTGTATAAAAAACCCGCTAGATGGGCTTCACATACTCGAGTGGGATCCAGCTGGTCTGGACCCCGTTTTTCTACAGGGAAAGCCAACGCGCAGCGGGTATGAACATATATACCACGACGGCACAGCCTGAGACTACTGGTCGTGATGGGGACAGTTGCTACTCACCGTAGACAATGAAGAATCACTTGAAGAGTTGAAGGATAGTCGTAGTATAGCATAATTGGCACAAGACTACCTGCCTCAACAAACACATCTGAGCACAAGGAGATCTCTGGGACCATGCAGGACTACAGTTTCCAGCTAAGGTATTGCAATATTTTACCGCCCCACGGACAGTCCACATTGCAGCATTGGATCTTTGACATAGCCGTGAAGGGACTACTGTCCCGCCAGCTCAGTATAATTATAGTATTGACTGATGATAAGTCCACACATATGCATGCACACAATGTGCCGACTTGCTGCAGCTGCTTGTCGGCAGGATCCAGGTACTGTACTATAGATAGGGGGTGCCTGAGGCTCGACACCTGGGCTGGGTATTCTGCCCCGTGATACCGCCTTGATATCGCTTCGAACTCCGCCGCCAGTTATTCGTCTCCGACTCAGTCAAAATTTCCGAGTATTCAAGAATTCCACGCGCCAAACTCATACCTCAACGATTTGAACACCCGGCTCTCATCTTTTGCTCATACAAACGCGCTGCACACACCTTGAACGAACCGTCCCGCCCAAGCGCAACGCGCCGATCGAGCGCTACCGAGCGAAGCTTAATACGCCTCCCAAGAGCAATCGCTCTCTCAAGATCAAGATGCCCAAATATAAGTATTCGACCACTTGCTCATCAGGAAACTACTGACAACTCCTCACTCTTCTGTAGGTTATCCTCTCTTATGCGATTATCGGACTATGCGATTACAGTGGTTTGGTGCCTGCGACATCAAGAACTCCGCGCACATCGCGAAATCCCATTCCGGTGCCTTTCAACCACGCCACAACAGAACTGACGGACACTTTCATGCAACAGGTGACTACTGCGATGTCTACCTTACGCACGACTCGATGAGTGTGCGCAAGGCGCACAACTCTGGACGCAACCATCTGAGAAACGTGGTGGAGTACTACCAACGTACGACGTCCCTCGTCCGATGTCAGACCTGCAATGAGTCCGCAACCGTTATCTAACACGCTCACAGAGATCGGACAAGAAAAGGCCCAATCCGTCATTGACTCCATCACATCATCATACGCCGCCGAAGGCCAGGCTGTACCCAACCCTGCGATGGTGCCCCCGGGCGCCTACCCCCCTCCCTTTGGATTTCCCGGTATGTTTCGCAACGTGTACACCAACGCTCCGAACGAGACCGAAAGATTGATCGACGACTGATTGAATGCTTCCAGGCCGCCCAGGTCAACTTCCTCCTCCTCCCTTCGGGATGCCCGCACCTGGTGCAGCTCCCGGAGCCCCAGCCATGCCTCCGCGTACGTGCCTCCCAGCTGCATACATCCTTTTCCCCTTCCCGCACGCAGCACTCTTCCCTCCTCAATCCCAAATTCTAAATTCTGTATATATATAATAACAAGCTAACGAGACTCGCAGCCCCTGGAGCAAGAGGCCTTCCCTTCCCACCCCCGTTCCCCGGCGTCGGCGGCCCCGGTGCCCCCGGCGGTCTTCCTGCCCTCCCCAACATGCCCCCCGGCGCCCAGGGATTCCCTCCCATCCCACCCCCCGGCGGGTTCCCAGCTGGGTTTCCCACGCCTCCTCCCGGCGCAGCTGGGTTCCCCGGCCTGCCTCCCCCGGGCCAGCTTCCGCCAGCCGGGTACAGTCCCAGCCCGACTCCCGGGATCAATGGCCCGCCCGGCTCCGATGCATATGCCCATGCTGCTCCGCCTCCTGGCATGGGTTCTTCGTCTCTGCCCGGCCCGCCTCCGGGATTGGGTGATAGACGATGAAGAACCTGTCCTGATTGCTTTTCATATGATTCCACATCTTTCCCCCACCCCAAAACAACTCATGTACTCTTTGTTTCCCCCCACATGTTCGAAATTACCTTTTATACCTCCTCCCTCCACCTTGAAACGCTTGGTCTGTTGCTTAAGACGGGTGGTCATGTTTCTGTTCCTCATCATCATTCTAAATCCCGGCGTGGTCTCTGAATATCATTTTCGTGAGTTTGGGTTTATCTTTCTTATCTGGTGTTATCATGTTTTATGTTCTTCTTATCGAAATAAAGGAGGAGTGGAAACAGTTGATTAGGAGAATGGAAAAAACAAAGATGATTAGAAGAAGAATGCTAGTTGCTAGCTCGCAGACAAAAAAGCACCCGCGCCTTGTGGTTAGAACGCGTCTCTGCCGTTGAATGCTGGGACATCTAGAATACCATGTCGCCCACATCTACATTCTTCGGCCCTCCCCCATATGGGGCACGGCATGGAAGTAGGTATCATCGCCTACGTCATTGCAGCAGCGATCATCCTACAGATACTTCCTCCTTTTTTCCTGTTTCTCTCTGTTATTCTCCGTTCCCCCAATACGCCCGAACAAGATAGACATATCACGGGATCGGAGTTAACTACGAAACTCAGGAAAAAGACGACTGGAAGAAGCTCTTCGGACACGGGACGAACATAAAAAGAAAAAGCCTTCATTCTTCTTCAATTCCTCCCCAACCTCCCTTCTCTTTTCTCTATTATTCATACATCAAGGAAAGATACAAGGGAGAAGAAAAATATATAGGACGAAGAGGGAAAAAAAGGAATAAATATATAAGATAAAAACAGAAACCCCCCATAGAACAAAGAGTATAACCGATATATATCCAGGATCCTTTGTTGGTTCAAAACGCCAGCGGTAGTAAAACGTGAGAGTAGTAGCAGTAGGAGTAGGTAATATGGAAAGATGGGTTGATTGTAAGGAAGGAAGTAGTGAGCTCCTCCCCCGCCGGCCTGTGGCTCCCCCTTTTGGAAAAAGAAAGGGGGCGTCGGATGTCGGATAAGAGGTAAGCGGATAGATGGTAGGTAGGTGTAGGTAGTCTAGGAGATGGATGGGTCAGGTTGATTGGGGAGAGAGGAAAAAGGGGCGGGAGGGGGCTCTCTGGTATATCACAGCATACGACAAGGGATGTAGGCAAAAAACATGATAACAGAGAAAATGGATGAAGGTGGAAATCAGAGAAGCAAGAAAAACCCAACGCACCTGGTGCGGGAAGAATTGTATAGGTAGTAGAAAGCTAGAATGGCTCGTGAATAGAGTAGAATAGGAGTCAATCCATGCCTTCTCCCCGCACGCACACACACACAAGGCCATAACTTCATCACAAGCAAGGCTAGAAAGCAATTCAGGTGAATTATTTTTCAACTTCAGTGATCATATCCCGCCCCTCTTTGCCATGGACTCGGGTTGTTTTGTTGTCGGTATGCGTGTGGGTTTTGCATGGGAGAGGAGGTGTAGCCACGCGGAACAGGCGATGGTGATCGTCCGAAATTGGCGTCGTGCGAACCGTTGCGGTTGTCGCTTGGGAATAGCGGCAACGAAGGGTCCACAGGGGAGGCCGGCGAGCGCGCAGCGTGGTTCGGCGAGGGCTCAGGAGCCTCGAGGTTCTGACGGCTGACACTGGCCCCGTTACCGCTGGAGAAAGACGCGTTATCATCTTCGAACGGGCTAGACTTATAGGGCGAGTTCTTCATGTCGCCACGTGCCGTCGCACCCAAAGCGTCCAGTTCGGTCGTCAGCTGGCTGCCCGACTTGATGAATGATCCCCGGTCATCCCTCATCGGCTGATAGCGTGTGTCCGGGTTCTTGGATACAATGGCGTAGATAGAAGCGACCAACACCATGATCAAGAGCACCAGGGCGAAGATGGCGTTGATCACGAAGAACACGACTCCCATGACACCAGTAACAATGCCGGGTTGATTGAAGACATTCGAGAAGAAGAGGAGGAAGATGACGTTAAGGAAGTTGATAGCAGCGATGGCGATGTTGTAGATGTTGGTTTTCTTGTCCATCCACGGACGCAGCACACTGACGGCGATGAGCATGCAGGCTTCGATAATAACCAAGGCAATAGTCTGGACGACAGGAGCCGGCTGACTCAAGCCGATAAACATGCCCTTGACGAAGATATAACCGAGGAAAGGAAGAATGAAGTAGTATGCAGTTGCACGATACTGCACATACAAGAAACCCCACTTGTTCAGGCAGGTCGGGTCAGAGAAGAGGATATAGGCCGGATTTTTGTGCATCACAGTTGATCGGTTTGCTAGCCGGAGCACCTTGAGAGATGCCCAACCCAGAGCGGCGACCACCGACAGGAACATGACGATGGCCAGAACCACCTCCGCAGCCGAGTCCCGCTGGGTGAGCTCCCATAGACACAAAACAGCCATTTGGGGAAAGCCGATCAGCGTCAGCCGGAAGAGAATGCCACGGGCTACCACTTTCCAGCCGTTCCGGAAGTCCTGGAACTTGTTGCTCTTCATCCTGCCCTGCTTGGCCAATAGTTCACAGCCAAGCTTGAAAAGGCCGACCATGATCATAACCAGAGCAACGAAGACAACAAAGAAAATGAGACCAGTCATGAAGATGTTCGTCGATTCGATTTTGGCCTTGAAGCCAACACGCTCGATACCTCGTACAATGACGGTAGAGTCAGTCGCTGTCTTGCTGTTCCCTGAAGCGCGCTTGCGCATATAATTCAGATAGCCGCTTGCTCGTCTGAAAATGCCTTGTTCTTCAAGCTCGAGATCACGCTTTCTACGTCTGTAGGTTGCGACCGAAGTTGTCGACAGACTCGATAGTAGCGTCGCAGCGGTACCTCCGGTGGCTCTCTGATACCAAGTACAAATATCCTCCAGAAAGCCGACATGGATGATACCCATACTCCACTGGAAGTTTTGGGTCCAAGCTTCAACAATCGGGGGCATATGTACCGATGTCATGCCAATCATGGCCTGAGACTGCATGAAGCTGAACAGGGAAAGGGCATTGGCTGCGACATGGGCTGCAGTGTTTGAGTGCCCCAATCCCGATGTGATGGCAGAGGCGGCGAGGCCTAATCCGGAGATGACGGCAGTTGCCCAGCCGACACCCTTTTGATAAACCGTCTGGCCGTTTGAAAGCTCTGCCTCCATGCAGGTAATGCTGGAGTTCGTTGACGTGGAATTGATGTAGATACGCACACTAGCGTCGAGATCGGGAACAGTATAGGCGATGCCTAGGAAAGAACGGTTAGCAGGCCTAGGCGCTGCAAGGCATCGCCATTGCCATGGGGCGCTACTCACCTGGGATATCTTTGATCACCGACTCGGGGATGTCCAGGGTAGCTTTGGCAACATCAATGGCACCGGTATTCATAGGACAAAGGCCTGCGATGCCCATTTCACATGGGTCCAGGGTCTCTGACAAAACACTGATGCCGTAGGCTGTGAGCTGCAATTCCGCAGTGACGTAGCCGGAAATTGCTGAAACTCCATCGAAACTGAAGGCGAGTGAGCGATTGCCGGGAGTGAATACGACGCTGAAGTAGGTGACAGTAAAGTTGTTGCTCGCTTGGCATAAGTTCAGGGCGCTAGATTCGATCAATTTAATGGCATTCACCTGCAGGGCGTTGAGCAAGGCGAGGAAAAGCCCGAAGAGGATGGAGGATAATCGCATATTGACCGAGCCGTGTCCGATGACAACAATATCATTAACTGCCACGGAGGGGATCTGTCAAATATTTTATGTAGTAATGCGGAGAAGACGTAGTAATCGAGGCGGTCAAATCGAAGGGTGGTACTCCAGAGCACCAACTTGGCGCAAGCCGAAAGCGGAAGTCGTGGGAAGTCGAATGTCGTCCTGCGGGAGGGTTTTAATGAATCAGGTTCCAGGGAAGAGGTGCTTCCAATGGTCGAGGGCTGAGATGGATCGGTAGTCTAGGAACGTATCGTTGCGAATTACGGTTCACAACGTCATTGATGGTTCAAGGCGGTGGTTGGTAGAAGAAACAGGGTAAATGATCAAGTAATTCTATTTAGTCAAAGGAGTGACAAGAACGCAGTAGTTCGAGTATATAAGCGAGTGTCAGACTGGAAGTCGAGTAGTTTTTCAAAGCGAGTGTGTGGCTTAAAGAAAAATTGGAGAAATTCAAATAATGAGTGAGCGTGGACGGCGACACACACAGTATGGCCCTGGAGGAGTTGTCGGGAGGAGGGGTGGTGGTGGTAGAAGTGGTGGTGGAAGAAAGGGACAGGAGACCGGGTCGAATTCGGGTGCCTGAGTCTCCTCCCTTAAAGTGGGTGCGCTGCTTAAGAAACAACGTTCACACCCTCCTTCAGTCAAGTGAAGGGCAAGCCGAGCAAAACGAAAGAGAGAGAGAGAGAGAGAGAGGAGAAGAAAGAGAGAGACGAAGGGAAAGAAGGTAAGTACAAAATACAAGGGAAGCGAAAGACGAGAATGAAGAGACCTCTCTTTCGACGATAGTCTCTCTCACTATCAAGTTTCACACACACACACTCTCTCTGCTTCTGCTTCGTCGTCGTTCAGTGTTTTCTTCAGGGGAGAAGAGAACGAAAGAGCGAGCGAGACCCGAAGCTGGTCGTAGGAGAGACGGTCGGGAATGCTTGTGAAACCACCTGAGACCCTCTTGCCGGCTGACTCAGCACGGGGGGCAGTTGGTCGGGGGCCAATCAACAGCGCGGGTGGCCTTGTCACGGATAGGTGGGGCTCCGCTCAATCGGGCTAAGCGCCCTGAGTTTACCTAGTATTACTGGAGACGGTATTCTGATTACCGCTCCTCATTCACTAAATAATCTCGACAGTATACTGAGAATAGTACTTTATTCAATTTCTTCTGGGCCTACATAAATTCAATCCCACCCTGGATCTTTGGGGGCAATATATATAAAGAAAGGCATAAGAAAATCAAGGGAAGAGGAAGATGACAGAAATTGGCTGGGTCTTCTTGTTCCGTGGGGGCCCTGTCCCTCTTCCAGGTATGCACTAATGCTGATGCTGATGCTGATGCTGATGCTGCTCCTGCTTCTGCTTCTACTACTGCTGCTATGCTGATCAAGAAGGGCCAAAATGTCAATCAAAACAGGAATGAGAAATTTGCCGCTGGTGCTGACAGAAAGCTAAGCATACCTCTCTGGTGACCTCTACAGTGTGATCATTTGTACGGAGTGCTCATACAAGGTACCATGCAATGCTCAGTTACAGTACGGAGTACCATTAGTTATGCGTACTCCGTGCCTCGTAGTAAGTGCACGCGCGTCCCTCAGGGGGGTTGGGTCTGGGCCGAATGCGGGTGTTCTCTCGCTGAGCTTCTCTCTCTCCCACTTTGATTTGCCTTTCTCTTACCGCCCAGAGTGATAAACCTTGGGGCGCTGAAGTGGGAAAGCGACTGCGACTGGGCGAATCTGGATGGTCCCAATCTAGGTACCCACGGATTCTATGATTTGGAGTCTACGCTGGAGTTCCACTCGACTGCTGCTACCTACGTAGTGTCGTTGTCGTCGTCGTTGTCATACTTAGTCCACGTTACGTTTGGACTCTTTGAGGTCTGGGACACTCGAGCCAGCCTAATTGAGTGAGTGGATCTTTTTGACTACGAGTACGGGTGTTCATACTCGAGTTGATGCCCGTCAGTAGTCACTGGTACAGTACTACGGTAAGTAGGTACTGGGTATGGATGCGCAAGACTGCGACAAATCAGATCTTCGCTCTTTAACTTTTCTTGTTGCACTTGCACTTGACCTCGCCGGTGGTAGTGATATTCTTGCTATTTTTAAACGGACATATGAGTAACTATTCACTCATACTATTTCCCACGAGCGAGAAGCTGAAACTGGTCGGCGCATATTGATCCAGTAGTATAAGCGGGAGACTATGCTGATCGATCCCGCCCCGTGCCTTTGACCATTTTTAATCCGCCCGCGAACTATGGTGTACCTAGTTACTGAGTGTACTGAGTATAGGGCTCTTCTGGTGTCTGATGACTTCTCATGAACCATCGGATCGCTTGTCGTCGACTGCGCCTAGATTGTTCGATCTGGTAGGGCGTTAAGCTTGACTTCAGGTTGTCTTTGCGAACTTGAAAAAGACAGACGCCAGAGGAGTGTCAATTGACCGTACCATACACCTGCTAACTACTACTGAGTACTTCGGGTTGAACTATCTGATCCTCGACGTATTCGTATCCTTTTGCCCAGTTACAGACTACTACCAACAGCCCGAGGCTTACTGCACAGCCTCCCTCTACAGCAGTTGATTAACTCCAGGTCCTTCCCGCACAGCACCAGATGTGGGACTATGAACTCCTTTAATCAATCTCAAGCAAAGTTGTCTCTTTTACAGTGTACAACACGATCTGACTGATGGCATTGTGAGACAAATCGTACTATGCCCTCTCCACCACTCCGTGATTCACAAGCAAATGAGTCTTGACTACTCCGGAGTGTATGGAGTATGGAGTGTTTTGTTTGTGCTCGACATCTTCTGTGCGTCCCTGATCAGCAAGGGAAGGGGCAGTCGATCTTTTACCACTTTAAAACGGTATCTGACTGTACACTTGGCCGTCCGTGTCTGCGCATCATGACGTCTTTCCCCATTGATCCACTCCAACCCCATACATTATTGACCATAGATTTGACCATGGGATATCATGTCTCAATCAGTAGCAGAGAAGACAGTCATGCAGCAATCGATCGAAGAATATCTCCATGAACGTTCTCCTCGAGGGGCTGACGAGCACCTGCACCTGCACCAGCCCTCCTCAGACCGGTCGGTACCTTTTACCTTAATAATCGGAAAAGAAAAAGGGTCCAAAGTTCAAACTCACTCCAACATGCTGGGCGCTGCGAACCATGGCACGCCCCGTCCTATTTTTGGCATTGGAACTTGCAAATTCTTTTCGAAAATAAACCTACCAAAAATTTGCGTGGCTGTCCGCCACACGATCCATTGTAAAATCTAGTCCAGCCTACGATGAATTCGAGCGGTCGTTCTGCTCCGCAACACAACCCTATTTTTTCCCGTTGCGCATTCTTCCAGCCGACTTGACCTTTCAATCCGATCTCTTAGCTGTCAATGATCTGTTAAAACATGCAAGGTGCACTTTCCTGCAGTGACTTCACCCCTTGGGCTTCTGGAGGCTCTGCTCTGTGCAGTCCATGTTTGCTTGGTCCAGGCTCTCAGCCCCTAGCACGGTAAAACGTACCCGAGGTCCCGAGCGAACTTCCTTAGTCATTCAGTTGCCTAATACGCAAGCACTTTGGCTGGGGATCTTGTGTACGCATAAACCTTCTCAAGACACGGCTGGGAATCCTTAGTTACCCCCCCCCCCCCTACTGTACCCATGCAAGTATGTCAGTCTTTATGGACAAACAAGAACTCTCAATGGCTTTCAGTGTTATGTGAACGGATCTTCGGTTCCCACATTACAATGACGTGTCTACGTGCTTCGCGTCTCGGCTGCCCCAGCCGGCCGTACAACAATGGCATCCATCCATGTTCCAGCACACGCTTCCAATGAGATTCTTGTTGTCCAATCACAGAGCTCGCAAGGAGAGCATGGAGCAAAGGATACAGTATAGTATATACATACCGGAACTCGCCTTGAGTTACAGGCCTGTTTCATTTGACCATTGCTCGGCTGTCTTCAGACTTACCAGTTGGACTAGCAGAATGGAAGCTACAACAGCAGATCTGTCTCACGGTTCTCATGTCTTTCCGAACAATTAGAGAGCTTGACAGTTTGCTCCACAGCGGCTTCTTCTCCTTTCACGCCATCTTGGACGAAACTAGCGAAAAGGGGTAGGTTGGCGGTTTGCGCAAAGCGCCAGGCTTCCACGGAATCAAATGTTAGAAGTATACGAATCTTGCCGTACTTGCAAGAGGCTCACATCGTTCATGATTATGTTTGTGGGATGGGGTGAGGCCAGTTAGATTCCATTATTGCCCAATGCTGCTGTTCTCTTCTTCACAGTCAAATTCATATACTGCCGTACGTTTTGGCTAGGGTTGAATGTTGTCGGATTCTCCTGACAGAGCTCTTCTCCTTTTTTGTCACTTGGGTATCATTTCAAGATTTCTTTCGTGGCTATGCAACCGAATTGATTGGAATAACAAGCATTTCATCGGCCTGAGACCGCCCCAAGAACTCCGCAGATTGCGGTACCAAGGACAGTAATGCGAGCGAGGGCTTATGTGGCAGGCAGCATAATTGTTGCTTTCTGGGGCAGTCTTCTGTCTATTCGCAATCGTCCCTCAGAGATAACGTCGACATGTTCCATGAACGTCAAGGCTTACTCCTGATTCCATCGAAATAGAATGAGCCCAGAGGCTGAAGCGACGTGCTTTACGCGACTAGTTGATTTGGTATAGTCCTAGAGGCATGGTACCTATAAGACTGATTGATGCCAAGATGTCTACCTACCTGACAAGCGGCAAGCCTTCACAATTCGACAATATGCGGCTCGTAGTCTGTCACTTGATAGCATCTATGTCCTTCTGTATTATCCGGGCTGACAAGTCGCCACGTATAGGAGATTACCAGTCGTAATTTTGAGTTTCCTGCTATTGAAGCGCATCGGCGGGATGTGCTTTGATATAGTTTCTGTATGCCTCAGGCACCTGGCTTCTGTGGCCCACTCTTATCATTCTCCTATCGACACGTGACGCGGAGTTTGGCAGAAACGGAGGAAAAAAAAAGAGAAAAGCGGCCTCGCGATTCCAGGCCCTGCACTTCCACCATCAGATCTATTTTTTTTCGCAGTGAGGGATTCGTCGACACCAAACAACTCCGCGAAAATGCCGATCCCCGTGGACTCCGCCAAGTCTCTCTCCAAGAAGCGCAAGAGAAAGCACGGCGGAGGCGCCCGTCCTGCGACCGACAACGAGGAAACCTCCCCAGTCCAGAATGAAGCCGTGACCAAAGTGGCCGATGCTGTGGAGGAGGAAGTTAGCACGACCCCCAAAAAGAACAGCGACAAGAATAAGAAGAAGAAGGAGTCCTCCAAGAAGCGCAGAGTCGACAACTCCGACGAGGATGAGAATGACAGCGACGAGGAGATCCGCCAGGAGGAGGTAGAGGAAGAGGGCGAGGGTGAAGAGAGCGCCGATGATGAAAAGACTGCCGGTGCCGACCTTCCTTCGATCGATACTGTCCGTCTGCCTACGACGGACTCGGAGCCTAAGAAGTTCTCGGAATTGAACCTCTCGGAGAAGACGATGAAGGCTATTCAGGACATGGGCTTCGAGACCATGACTGAAATTCAACAACGGACCATCGGCCCGCTGCTCGCTGGTCGTGATGTTCTCGGTGCTGCGAAGACTGGTTCTGGAAAGACTCTCTCGTTTTTGATTCCTGCTGTGGAGATGTTGAGCGCTCTGCGGTTCAAGCCCCGTAACGGTTCGTTGCCGATGAGCTCGATCGTTCGATCCGGTTGCGTGCTAATTCGCTTGTCATAGGTACTGGTGTTCTTGTGGTTTCCCCCACCAGAGAGCTGGCCCTGCAGATCTTTGGTGTCGCTAGAGAATTAATGGCACACCACTCCCAGACGTATGGTATTGTTATCGGTGGTGCCAACCGAAGAGCTGAGGCCGAGAAACTCACCAAGGGTGTGAACTTGCTTATTGCCACCCCCGGACGTTTGCTCGATCACCTGCAGAACACCCCCGGATTTGTCTTCAAGAACCTGAAGACGCTTGTTATTGGTAAGTCGGTATTGAATTATCGTAACTTGGATGGTCTAACATCTTTCAGATGAGGCGGACCGTATTCTTGAAGTCGGTTTCGAGGATGAAATGCGCCAGATTGTCAAGATTCTGCCCTCCGAGGAAAGACAGACGATGCTGTTCTCCGCTACGCAAACCACGAAGGTCGAGGACTTGGCTCGCATTTCGCTGCGACCTGGCCCTCTCTACATCAACGTTGACCACCGCAAAGAACATAGTACGGTCGAAGGCCTGGAGCAAGGCTACGTCATTTGTGAAGCGGACAAGCGCTTCTTGCTTCTGTTCTCCTTCCTCAAGCGCAACCTCAAGAAGAAGATCATTGTCTTCTTCTCCAGCTGTAACTGTGTCAAGTACCATGCTGAATTGCTCAACTACATTGATCTTCCCGTTCTCGACCTCCACGGCAAGCAGAAGCAGCAGAAGCGCACCAACACCTTCTTCGAGTTCTGTAACGCCAAACAGGGAACCTTGATCTGTACTGATGTTGCTGCTAGAGGTTTGGATGTACGTTACCATAAATCACTATTACGAGCCACATTTCTGACGTTCTTCCTTTCTAGATTCCGGCCGTCGACTGGATCATCCAGTTCGATCCCCCAGATGACACCAGAGACTACGTTCACCGTGTCGGTCGTACGGCTCGTGGTGTGAACGGTAAGGGACGCAGTCTGATGTTCCTTCAGCCTTCCGAGGTTGGATTCTTGAAGCACCTGAAGGAGGCTCGTGTTCCCGTTGTGGAGTTCGATTTCCCCGCCAGCAAGATCGTCAATGTCCAGTCTCAGCTTGAGAAGCTGATCGGACAGAACTACTACTTGAACAAGGTAAGCTGGACTACTGTCTTTGTTGTTCCGACCCGGATATTAACGTGTCATCCAGTCCGCCAAGGAAGGCTACCGTGCCTACCTCCAGGCCTATGCATCGCACTCACTCCGCTCCGTTTTCGACGTGCACAAACTCGACCTGGTCAAGGTGGCCAAGGGCTTCGGCTTCTCGACGCCACCCCGCATTGATATCACACTGGGCTCCAGCATGAGCCGCGACAAGAAGCAGCAGCAGCAGGGACGGCGCAACTACGGCAGCCAGCCCAATAACAAGGGGCTGAAGTTCAAGCGGAAGCACGACGATGAATGAGTCAGCGCAGAGCAAAAGTGATTGATTGTAACATTGTGCGGTTTTTGAGTATTGGCATATAGTCTCGGAGTTCGATATTGTGGATATTTGGCTTGTCTACTACATATGGTTGATTCACAATTGTTAATCGTTTCTCTTTTCATCCGAGCATCCAAGCAGAGCAGGAGGCGGGATTCAGACGCATCGAAGTCATCGCTATGAAGGGATAGTAAATACTTTCTGATGCATATGCTGAAATGCAATTCAGTAATGGCTGAGTAACATCGCATCACAGTCGCTGGGCCCGTCATGCTCCGTCTCTCCGTTAAGAAGAAACTACAGACTGGCATGTAGTCCCATGATTCATGATCAAAGATGCGCATTACATCCAAGAATGGGGCCATTGACAATGCCTGCGGTAATATGAGTGGTACAACCGCCAATTCCATGCATTTCCTGTCAGATGTAAGCTCTAAACAGATCCGAGCTCAGCGCAATATTGGATGGACATCAGAAGCAGTAAAATCGATATCTTAGCTACTTAGAGTCAATAGATTGGGGTTGAATAAGTACCATACTAATAAAGTTGGCATTCACCGGGTGTGGCATGGCCTCCAGCTCAGGTTCCATACAGTACCTCCTCTATTCATCATATCATTGATCATCATAGATAGATCTACCTGCCTAATCTGGCAGGAAAGAATGAAGGGCTGTGACGAGAGATTTCTACACTTCTCAGTGACCAGAAAAAGAAGTTGAACTCTTCCTCTCCGCCTTCTACTCGAATTCGCCTTATGGGGTTGGGTACAAATTAACCCCATACGGGCACTGCTAGTGTGGTTGAACAATTGTTCTTTCGCAGAAAAACACAATCCATTGCGATAAAAGAACTTGCTTGCTGCCCGGTCCGTCAAACGGCTGCACATCCGATCTGCGTCCTGACTCCTGCCTAAGTGCCGGCTGCCATTGCTTGCTTCCCCCCTCCGATCGGGTTTCTCACCGCAGGACAGACTTCCAATTGTGAGAAAAACAGCGTCGGCAGTTAGATGCATCTTGCTTTCAAGCCTTGTCTTTCACTTGCAAGGAGCATAGGTGGCTGGTCGGGTAGAGTCTCTCTTTTCTCCTCCCCTTCCGGTGGCTGGCAGGATAAGTGAGTGGGTGACCTATGGATGGATCCCCCTGCCGTCGTTCGTCCCGTGAATCCACCCATTCAACTCCATCCCATGGCTAAGTACCAGAAATCAGACATTGAGAAAAAAAAAATAACAAAACCAACGTTGCATGCGACATGGCAGTAAGCAGCCTGAACCTTGATCGTTGTGGTCCTACTGGATGACCTTCGTGACGGCGGTCACCAATCAACGAGGGAGTCTCGCATTCGACGGGATGTGATGAGTTGGCAGATTTTCTAGGTATCGTCCGAAGAGACCGGAACGTTGGTCGTCCTGGAGACCCGCGTCCGGTCGGCGGGTGTTCAAGAAAGAAAAGACGAACAGGCCTTGTCGGTGGGACCTTGGCCCTTGACTACTTTGGAGCTTTGCTCTGCCTGCGGCCTGGGGAACAAGACAGACTCTCGAGCCCGCGGGTCCGCGGCGGGTCGGACAGGCCCACCGCTAGGATAACCTGGAGTCCTGGATCGGTCTCCCTCTGCGGTACCTACACTAGTCGTTTGAATCTGATGCTCTCCGCCATGAAGCAGATGATGATGAAGGTGATGATACTGGAGTAGTACCCATAGTGGTGATGGTCAACAGTGACGCCGCGTCGTTTCAGCTGTGAAGATCGTGGCGAATTTATGATGGGTCACAGAGAGGGCTGCTTTAACAAATGTTCTGGTTGCTCGTGTTTCATGCTCTATAAATCCCAGCTAATTTCCCGGTCGCAATTCGCGACAACCTGTTCTTCTCCAGCTCATTTCTTTGCCAGAATGGGTGGATGGAAGACGATGAAAGACGACTCGCTCTTGTGTTCGCTTTGGCTCTACTCCCCTCTCACACCTGTACAACGGTTATAGGACCAACCAAGCCACAGAATGCCAGACGGACAGGATACAGATCACATCTTGGGTTGCACCACGGAGGCAATAACCCGTTTGTCGCTTCATGGTAGGTATGAAAGGTAGGTATGAAATGTTGACAACATCCCTGGCGCGGAAAATTCCTATCCTACGGAACTCGAGGCTTTCTTGCGGTTCAGGTTGGGTGTGGCAAGACCGGAAAACCCGAGAGGAGAGCGATTGATGTCGAACGATTCGAGAAAACACCTCTGGAGGTGGATAAGTGGTACTTATTTATACTTCAATCCCAAGGGGAGGTTCAGATCATCGCGCAAAGCTCGGTCACCTTGCATGGATCTCACTTTGCTGGGAATCACGCATTACTCGCTCACGCATACACGTAAGAAGGGAAAGCCCACTTCTACCAATCCCAACCAACGTGGAAGAGAGCAATGGAGCGATGGACACCCAAAGCGAGGACGATCAAAGCTCACTCAGCCGAAGATAAGGTGGGAAACCCAAAGAGAGCGAAGCTGGAGAGTGGTGCTTATGCTCTTAGTGTAAGGGCGAAAGTGGTGCTCTTATTGTTTCGATGTTGTTGTTGGGTGACAATTCTTTCTTTTCTTTTTCCCTGTCTCGAATTTTTATTTTCTGTCTCAGAAAATCGATTCTGTGCCAGCTCATCCATTGTAATCGACGTACCTTACTTAAGTTTGGCTGGGACGACGACAAGAAGGAGGAGGAAGAACAAGAAGATGATAGTTAGTGGTGGCTAACTTATGAGTACTGACTTAACAGCTAAATCCAACTAGCCATCATCAAGTGTTGATATTCTTTGACCAGCCTTCTGCTTTTTTTTTCTGCTTGCCCACTTTTTCCCCTCCCCTCTTTCTCTTCCTCTGTTAGCTTCGGAGTTATTCCCGCCAAACCCTGTCTTGTACCTGATTCCATCTCCTTCACTTCTGCTCCCTCCCTCTTTGGGCTGATAATTGGATTTCCTTTTCCTCCAGGTGCTCCTCCGTCTAGATTACTATTTTATTTTATTTATTTATTTATTTTGATTTTGATTCTTATTGAACATTGTCATTTGTTTCTTTTTGCAACCTAATTTGCCTTTGCTTCCTTCCCCTCTCTCCTTCGGTGATCTCTGGCTGGACAGCCACCAATGCATGGGGACTCTTGCGGTGAATGCGCATGGCCACCAGCTAGATGATTGATTGACTGATTCAGTTATCCACTCCCAGTGAGCGATCTACAACAACTCGCCTCTTCTTTCCTTCTCGCGCTCTGTCGCACGTTCTCTTTCTCCCTCTCTTCCTATTCTCCCAGTCGACTTTCTCACTAAGGTCATTCTATCTTCCTGAGTTCTTCCGCGGGTGGTAAAGAGAGAGAGAGAGAGAAGAGTCGCCTACTGTTGCTACAATCACGTCTAATCCAACCGTCCATCCATCCCTCCATTTCTCCACCACCCTCCCTCTCTCCAGTGCTGGTACGCTGTTCTTCCTTTGCTTGTTGCTGATATTGATCGCATCCTTACCTTTCCTGCCTCCATCCCCACTCCCTCCTCACTTTCATCTTTGCTTGCATCTGTTTGTCTGCAGTTGTCTGCAGTTGTCTGCCACTGTCTGCCACTGTCTCCAACCCACTTACTGCACCTTCCGATCGGTCCGAGCTTGTGGTGAGACTCCAATCTGCTAACTGGCAGTCGGGGATCCAGAACCAGTTCCTGTCATCCAGCCTTACCATCTATCCATCTATCCATCCACCTATCCACCCATCCACCCATCCACCCATCCACCCATCCATCCATCCATCCATCCATTCTGTTCATCGCTTGCCCTTTGCTCTTCCTTTCTTATCCCTTCCCTCCTTTCTTTCTGCACGCTTTCTCCCCCTTCTCCAGATCTCAGATTAAGAGCAAAAAGAGATCAGCCCCCCTCTCAAGGTCCTAAAAAAAGAAACCCCGAGCCCGATTATGATTCGGTTCGGCTGAGAAAGGAAAAGACAACGAGACTTACTCTCTCGATTCTTTTCCTTATCGACCATGATGGGCGTCGAAACGCGCCGCAGACCGGTCCTGCCTGCCCCCACTGAATCCATTGTCGACACCAACACCACCGGCGGCAGCGTCACAGGCACTGATCTGGCAACTGACATCTCTCGCCGCACAGACAAAACCTCTTACTCCATTCCAGACGACGGGACTCCCGTCACTATCCCCACCCGTCGGAAACAACACCATCGTTCCCGCGGGGACGATTCCAAGCTGTCCCGCTCGTCGCAACACTCCCAGACCTCCCTGCTCATCGAGTATTTCGAGGGCGGGAAGGGTTCTGGCTCCCTGGTTTCGCGGCCCAGCGTCCGTGTCCGAGTGACCCCTTCCTCCGCGCGGAAGCTGAAGGACCAAAGAGACCATATTCAAATCACCGAGTCTAGCGGCAACCGTAAACCGGTTTATTCCCGCCGCATTTCCCTCAGCTCGCCCCACAAGCACCGGTTACTGGCCGAGTCCGGCCCCGATGATCAAAGTATAAGCTCCTCCAATTCAGCTACCGATGAGAACCAGCCTCCTGGCCATTCCCCCGTTGAGATTGAGCTCATGGATCGCCATCGTGGTAGTGAGGTTTCCAGCCTGTCGCGCGACACACGGTACATGCTGCCCGCCTCGGATATCTCCTCCATGCCTGCAGATAGCATGCTGGATACCCCCTCGTCTGGCCTCCGTCGCAAACGCAGTCAAAGCCTAGAGCGAGGTCCAAGCCACGAGTCCAAGGACTACCTTAAGACCCCGAGACGACAAAGAAGTCGCAGCCTAAGCACCGAGCGGATCGCTCATCGCGTGGCAGAAAAGCTTAGCAGCGATCCTCGCGACGGCTCCCGACAGCGTCGACGGGCAGAGAAAAGTAAGTTCGACGACAGCGAGGAGGCCGATCTCAAGTCTTCCCGGCTTCGAGGGCACGACGACATGATCAGTCCCGAGTCCAGCCTCCTCAGCGCCTCGGCCGTCTCCTCGCATCGCCGATCCGGTGACCAGTACTCCTTCCGATCCGGGACCTCCAAATCGTCCATCAACAACCCGAAACTACTTGAAACCGTCGAAGACGCGATTCGGAGGTTGATCCTGCCCGAACTGAAAGAGCTGAAGAAAGACCAAAAAGTCATGTCGAATACTTCCAAGTTTGACCGGGACATGAATGCCTCGCACTCCTCCGCCAGTACACCATCACGGGATGGACTCGGAAGGCGACTGTCAAAACACGCAAGTGCGCCTGACGTTAGGAAGCCCAAAGTTGTTCTCAACAAGGATAGTCGTGACGAGGGGATCACTATTTCGGGAGATTCAGTCCCCTCTCGGGCCGAGCGGCGATCGAGTAAGGGTAGCGAGAAGTCTCCAGATATTGGCTACGTCAAATGGGCCAATCGGCCAGAGTTGACTGAGCAAGAAAAGCTGCGGCGCCAGCGAAGCAAAGGGCTGCGCGAGGCAGAAAAAGCGGGCCTCGTCGGTAGCGCCCTAACAGCGGCGGCTCTCCAGCATCACGATTCGCGATCGAGCTTGGCTAGTAGCGAAGGTAGACGCAGAAGCAGCGGCCCCCAGAGCCCGATAGGAGGCATCAACGAGACTGAGCTGGTCTTCCAGAGACACAACATTGCTCCCATGCCGTTACGCAGTGCAATCGAGTCAGATCTGACAAGGGCTTCACTGCTCTCAGAGCAGTCTGCCGATCCCTATTCTTACGAGGAGTCTAAAGAACACGACATCTCGCGTGGGTCGTTTTACCAAACCATCTCCCCTACTCCACGATCCCCGGGTCAGGCTTCTCTGGACTCGCAGCATGATTTGAAGCTCAAGCACAGCAACCTATCTAGCCATAACTTGTCTCTGCGCAGCGTCTCGAGTCATTCGTCCGTCGGAGGTGCTTCGGCCGGAGCTATTGCGGCGGCGGCTGCAGCCAACTTGCTTGATGTACATGCAGGACACCATGACACCGATTATAGTGACCTCACAAGCCGACGACGGACACTCAGCCCAATTCAAAGCGTGGCGAGCAACATCAGCCAGTCTCCAGTAAAGCAGAACTCGACTTCTTATGATCACCACGACTTTTCCGACGATGAAAAGGGGCTGGAGCCGCGTTTGTCCATTGATTCGCTCTCGTCTGCTCCCAGCACCAACCTCGCAAGGTCAACCCGCCCGGAAGGACTCAGCATCAATAGTCAGACTGAGTCCCTTCGAAACCAATATGATCCTGGGCACGAGCTGGGCTACGAGGAGACGCCTAGAGCATCGCCACGAGGCAGTCGCTGGGTTGAACATTCGGATGGAGAAGACGACGGCGACGACTATGCCCACTCGACTGCGAGCACTGAGCGCAACAGAATGCCTGGACACAACGAGGACAGCGAGGTTACTTTCATGGACCACGCGAAGCAAGGCCAACCTGTCGCTGAAGGTGTCGCCGCCAATCCTCGCTTTGTCCATCCCCTCGCCGTAGAGTCGGCAGTGGCTTCGCTCTTGGATCCCACTATTCTAGACACCAAGTCCAGTCAGTCTGCTGCTAATCGCTCCATGAACGACATTCCCGAACAAGCCGAGAGCGATCGGGATGAGGCGATGGACAAATTGGATGACTCTCCTCATGCTTCTCGCCAAGGAAGTCCTCTCAAGCAAGGCCACAATGTGTCAAGTCCTGATGCTACATCGTTCCCGAGACGTATGGGTGCCACTTCGCCTCCGCAGAGTGTGACCCAGTCTTATGAAGACTTGACAGATCCTACTCACATGTTCGCCGGAATCCGCGACCAGAGCCCCCTTCCCGAGGAAGACCCACTTCCAGATACTGAATCGGAAATCAATACCAATCCTTCCATTATCCAAGGACCGGCGGCTCAAGAAGCTAGTTGGTCGTTCAATCAGACGCCTTCCAAAGATGCTCCGTCTCCTCTCTTCGATAAGGGTGGCGCCGTTTCTGGTGCGGCTGCTGGTGCGGGCCTGGGTTTGGGGTCGGTCGACCAAGCACAATACGACCAGGAATATTACCCCGAGGACGAATATGCTGCAAATGACTACTACGACCAACAATATTCGCGGCAATTGTATGGGACACCTCTTGGAGCCAAAGACGAGGGCTATGTCTCGGCTGCCAATCCCCGTTCTCCAAGCGTTGATACGCCTGAACCATTGAAAAAAGGGATGGGAGGGATTGATGCCAACATGGGTATGTTCGACAGTCCCATGGGAGCTGGTGATTTCGTACCCGGCCATCAGCGACAGCTGAGTGGGTACTCCCATGGGGTTGGATCTCCGCTATATGACAGTGCCACTGGCAAAGGCATCGATCGTATTCAGTCCAAGGACATCGTCGCACTCATGGACCATGTAAGTTCCAGTTCCCTTTCGTCAATACTTAGACAACTCTGCTGACACTGCCTAAGCTTACTGTACGCGATGCGCAACGGAACGCCAGAGATACGGAAATTCTGGTGACGCTGGTTCGAAGCGCGGCCGAGATGCGCAACTCGTTCGAGGAAATGAAGAAGTTCATCGCTCAGCAAGATGGAATGCTCATGGAGGCCAGCGACAGACAGCACGAGCGTACATATCGGGCTGTTGGCGGACCGCGCCCACTGCCGGTCAGTGCGCGCAGCGCTCGTCAAATGTCTGTGGACGATGGCGAGGAACTGAGCCAGAAGCGCAAGAACATCTTCAAGCGTGCGCTTAAGGGCCTGAGTATGAAGAACTCGAATGATCTGACCAAGATCGAGGATATGTTGGAGCAATTGCTGGAGGAGGTTGAGGCTCTCCGTCACAATCAGGATCACGGGTTTCCGCGCAATGGTAACCGGGCTGCCAGCGTGGATCCGGAAGGCTATGAGCCAGAAGGTCATGCGGGAACTTCCTCTCCTGGGAATCCCTCCGAATACCTTTCGACGTCGTCACAGCTCGCCCAGGATCCCAATCAGTTCCGGAAAGGCCTCGAGAACCGTGTGAGCACGGTCCAGGAGGTTGATGAGGATATGGAAGACGATCGCGGGGAATTCCTGAGCCCTCACCTGGTGTCTCAGCCGAACCTCAACAACCGACAGGACCGAGCTGGTTCGGCTCCTGTCTCAACACCCCCTCGGGACGCGATGGCCTCGGGGGCTCTTAGCACTGACACCACCCCGAAGACTACCGAGAAGGCAAAGAAGCACAAATCCAGCAGCTCCTCGTTCTTTCCCAAAATCTCACGCTGGTCGAAGACCACCGCCTCGTCGATGGGTGACAACATCCGCAACAGCATTCAACCGAATCGCAAAGAGCGGGCGTCTTTTGATGCTTCGCGCTCCGGGTCCGACCTCGCACAGGGGCCATATCAAACGACAAATTATTATGATCCTCAGGGCGAAGATCGACTGCGCTCCACTTACACCTTAGATGACCAGCAACATGAGAACCGACCACCGTCGCCGTTGGTGCCATCTCAGGTGTCTGAAACGCCCAAGTACCGGGCTCACCGCGGTAGCCTCGACCTGCACCATCCCCAACCCCGCCAAGGACCCACCGGACGGTACCAATCCCAGCTGGAAACGCAGGCTCAGGTTTACACTGCACCGTCCGACCACTGGGGATCGAATCCCAGCTTGACGGGTGTAAATGCCAATCCGCGCTACAGTGGTGGCGGCCGGCTATCTCCCATCTCGGACGCAGGTTATTCAGAAGCCAGTTCTCGCCAGACGGGACCCCCGCGACCCCCGAAGATCAAAGACGAAGGGCCCCTGATCCCGGAGAGGCCCCCCAAGGTTAAGGATGACGACGAGCGGTCGTATATGGATCGTGTCGTTTCACGGGTCAGTGTGCATTCCTGGAAGGGACGGCTGAAACGAGCTATGCTGACGAGATTTCTGTAGAGTTCTGCTGTTCAATCCCCACGCAGCACGCCTCCCCCGCGCAAACCGACGGGGCCTCGCCCCCTCAACTCGGGCAGTCAGTACAGCCCGGCGCGACGGAAGCGAAGCCAGTATCGAGCGACCAGTCCGGAGCAGGTTGATGCCGAGCTTGACTAGACGTTTCTGATTTCAGTTGATACCCTTTCTTTTCATTGTTTTGATTTGTTGCCTGCGGACCGTTTACGACATAATGACATGACTAGTTGCACCATGTGCTATGACCAGCGTCTTGCATTTGTGCGAGCGTGATTTCTTTTTGTGTGGGTGGACGAGGTTGTGGCTGTGAATTTTGTTATACCATGTATCCATTTGCTGTCGTGTAGTGATGCGCTACATATTGACTTGATTTGATGCGGTGACTGGAGTGTGAGTGTAGAGTGGCTCTAGCCTCTAGTTGATAATTGTTAGTTGCAGTTAGTGTCAGGTCATAAGTAGCAGCCAGGCTTTATGCATGGCGACTGTAGCTATCCATGATTGCCGTTAGCTTATCGGTTTGTGGTTGCTGGCATGGGGGGGGGGTTGGGGTTAGAGTATGAGAAGAATGGGGGGGGGGGGAAGAGGGATAAGGGGGGGTTGCATGTCAATTCCCCAACTACCTAGTAGTAGTTAGTAGTAGTCATGATGACATGGAGACTCCAACCGCCATGGACCTGCCATGGCTCTCAGCTCTATCGTGTTTGATGGGTGTTTGAACCACGGAAATGTTCCGTATGCGGGGTAATCAACACGAAGTATAAGACCCTTAAGACCTTCCCTCCCCTCTCCCCTCTCCCCTCATCAAGTATTCCATCCCATCCTCAACCTCGTTTCAATAACTACTAAGTTACATACCTATGCACCATGCCAGATTCACCCCCATCATCTCTCGACTTCATCGTCTGCTCAACATGCGGCACGCAATTCCCCACCACCTCGCCCCCACCCAACTGCAAGATCTGCGATGATCCCCGCCAATTCATCCCTCCAACGGGGTATGTACAGTATACGTATACAGTGTCTACCTCCCCTTCCAAGTTCCCCAGCATTCACCAACACCAGCACATCACCCAGAGTCCCAGAGCCACCCAGAAGTTCTAACAAACCAGACAATCCTGGACAACCCTCCGCGCCCTCCGCCACCATCCAAACCCCAGCACAAACCAATCCCAAACCCAGACCCAGACCCATGAGCCCCACCAACCCTACCACAACGAATTCCACCCCCTCCAGCCCAGCACCGACCCCAAAACCGACCTAACCACATCCTCCCTCCTCGCAATCCACACCGTCCCCAAACTCGCCATCGGCCAGCGCGCCTTCCTCTGCCGGACCCGCCGCGGCAACATCCTGTGGGACTGCATCCCGTTCCTGGACGACGCCACGATCGCCCAAATCGAGGCGCTGGGCGGGCTGCGGGCCATCGTCATCTCGCATCCGCACTACTACGCCACGCATCTGGAGTGGGCGCGCGCGTTCCGGTGTCCGGTCTTTTTGGCCGCGGAGGATGCGGAGTGGGTTGTTCGGCGGGGGGAGGAGCAGGTGTTTTGGGTGGGGGGGCGGTTGGATTTGGGGGAGGTTTTGGGGAGGGACGTAGAGGAGGAGGGGGGTAGGGGTGAGGGTCAGGGGGAGGGTTTAGGTGAGCTGGAGGTGATCAAGACCGGCGGCCATTTCCCGGGCAGTACGGTGCTGTGGTGGCGGGCATTGCGGACGCTGCTCATTGCGGATACGATCGGGACGGTGCCGAGTGGGATCTATCATGTCGACCGACTGCCGGGGACGGCGTCGTTTACGTTCCTGTGGTCGTATCCGAATATGGTTGGTCGCCTTTGTTGCCGGTGCTTCATCCTTCTTGGGGGGGTTTGCTGACTTGGACCTGACGGTAGATTCCCTTGCCGCCGGATGAGGTGCTGAATATCTGGAAGGCGATCAAGCACACCGACTTTGATTCGACGTATGGCGCTTTCGTGGGGATGCATACGCACGGGGATAGCAAGAAACGCGTTCTGGAGAGTGCTAAGATCTTCGTCCGGGCTATGGGGTATCTGGATCATGCCATTCATAAGGAATTCTGTTTGTGACAAAGCATCTAAGGTATACACTGAGCGCGGCTCTCTTCGTTATTGTACAGTACAATCATACCAGGTCCCTGTCATGGCGGGTGCATGAATGCTCTCTCACACAGCACGGGAAGCCTGTGTACTCTAAGGTACAGTTCAGTTAATGATACTTACATCTTTGACCTGACAACACTCGGCACACCCACTACCCTAAACTTCGGTATACGGCCTCATAGAAGTCTGCAATCCAGGAGCAACAGTGGGAGCGTTGTTCTCTTCATTCTCCGCGGGTCCAGCACCAGGACGCTGCGTCGCCGTGGCCAACCAGCTCAACTCCACCCCATCGCTGATGGGGAACTGGCCCGGATAACTGTCCACCGAGCACGCCGGCTGCAAGCGGTCCATCGTCTCCTCGACGACGACGGGCTCGGCGCGGTGGTGCGCGGGCACCTCATTACTCTCTGGCGCGACGACCGAGACCATCGACCACGGCTGGCTCAAGACGCTGAACCGCAATCGCTCCGTCATGAACCCGGAATAGCGGATGTGGGGCAGCACGATACTCTGGCGGCGATCCGACCCCAATGACAGACTCCTCCTGAGGGTGGCCGAGTAGATCGAGTCACTCATCCGCGGCGGGTAGACGACGTTCTGCTGCTGCTGCTGCTGGTGCACCTCAACCACTGAATTCGCAGTCTTGCTGCCAATGGCGGAGTGGCTAGTCACGGCGCTGTCTCCTCGACTACGTTTCACTGGGCGGTTGGACGGCCGCAGGGAGAGGATGCTCGCAGCAGGCAGTGGCCGTTTCGGTCGGAGCGAGGAGCCGCTTACTCGCTCGGTGGCCGTGGGGGACGTCGCTAGACTCTGCATCGCCTGCGTGTCGGCGGTGGAATGGCGCGGATGCGCTTCGGGGTCATCGGGGTGGGAGGGGTCGGCGGGCTCGAGGCCCAGGATGAGGGAGCTGAGGTGAATGATGCGGCGCTCTTTGCGGTGGATGGACTGGCAGAGGCCGTGGCGATGGGACAGCTCGGACGACGGGTCGATGTCACGGAGAAATGCCACGAACAGTAGCAGGTTGAGCATCAGGATGGTGGCCGTGAGATGGAGGGCGCGAGTGAGGCTGGCACCCGGGGCAGAGGCCATTTTCGTGATGGACGATCGAGCAGGTCGGTTGGGGGTTGTAAATGTGGCGATCGGGAGAGGGGGTGGTGAGATGAAAAAGATAGTAAATGCTTCCATGGTGTGGTTTCGAGGTTATTTTGTTTTAAGGGAGGCAGGATTTGGGAATGGTGGTGGTGGTGGTGGTGGTGGGAGTGGCAGTGAGGAGGAGGTGCATCGGCATTGCAGGAAGGAACCACCCTGTGGTTTGGTCCTTACATGCTGATTTTCTTCAATGGACATGATGAAGATGGATGATGAATATCTGCATTCTGAAGTAGTGCAGAGGAGACACGAATCCAATATTCACCATGCAGCACTTGTGTATAGTAGTTGTGTATGGTTATTGTCTCCGCATTCCATCGACGATGACTTTTCTTTATCTTATCGGCGGCTGCGGAGCCACTCGGACCCGCAAACGTCAGACTTTCTCCCCTCCTCTCTTCCTACTCTCCCTCTCCACTCTCTCCGTCTCCAACATCCTGAACTATCCTGGACTGACTCACAATCTTATCGGATTCAATGCTCCTCTCTCCCTTCAATTCATTGCGTCTCTACCATCGCTTCATGGCTACTCTCTCCTCCGCAGCAGCCCCGCAATCTCCCCTGCGTCAACGGCGCTTCGCTCCTCTCAATGCGGAGAACTCGCGAGATTCCTCCGCACCCGCGCTGAGGGGCATCGTCTTCGATGTCGACGGCACATTATGGTGAGTTTTCAGGTTATCTTTGCTTCATCCTATGCTTCTTTCTCTTCTAAACCATTTACTCTATTCCTCCTCCTGCCCCTCCTTTCCCTCAGCCAACCCAATCAATCTAACAAACCACGCAAAGCCTCCCCCAAAACTACATGTTCGCCGAGATGCGGTAACCTCAACCCCTCCCCCCGGCGCATACTTGTCCAACTCCACCCATCCTAAACCTCCACAAATAGAGCCGTCCTCAACATCGACAAGAAAACCGACATCCTCCACCACATCGCCAGCCTCCCCACCGCCTCCGCCCAAATCGAAGCCGCCGACAAGATCAAGGCCATCGAACGCGAAGCCATGCGCCACCAGCAACCGCAACCGGGGCTGGTGGATCTGATGGATTATCTGGAGCAGAGGGGAATTCGACGGGCGTTGTGCACGAGGAATTTTGAGTATGCATTGCTTTTCTCCCGCTCGCTCTGTGCTTTCCCATCTCTCGTCTTGGGGCTTTGGCATGGCATAGGCTGACTACGGTGGCATGGAAACGAATAGGGCCCCCGTGACGAATCTCCTGCAGAATCATCTCCCGGCTCATGTGTTTCTGCCGATCATCACCCGCGAGACGCCTGGGTTGATGCCCAAGCCGGATCCGGCGGGGATTCTGCATATCGCGAGGGAGTGGGGGTTGGAGGATGGCGGGGAGGGGTTGATTATGGTGCGTTATTCGGCTTGGCCCTCTGCCTTGATGTGTGCAAGGGTTGTATGAAGGGCAGGGCTGAGTGATACGAACTGATTGTTTTGCTAATGTTGCATCCGTGGTTAGGTCGGAGATAGCCTCGATGATATGACGGCCGGGCATACGGCGGGAGCCGCGACCGTGCTCCTCCTCAACGACCACAATGCTCATTTGAGAGACCACGAGCATACCGATCTCTGCATTGAGCGCTTAGATGAGCTGGTTGACATTTTGGGCCGTGGATTTGTCGGTCACAGAGGTGGGAACAAAGTTCCCGCGACCGATGCACCCACGGCCGCGGCGGCATCGGCTCAATGATTTAGATCAATAAAGAGAAGGACAATGGCTTTTTGTGGCATCTGTACATAATGCTTTGCGAGAAAGGACCTGCCCTGGCTCCTTTTCGTCTGGGGAATTGATACTAAGACAAACAGATAAAAGAAAGATAATCATCCCGGGGTATTTTTTTTACAAAGTACGCAAACATGCATCTATCCCCGCAGCCACTCGTAGAGGGGGTATTAGTCGTGTCAACTCAATCAACCATTCACATCCTGCATCAATCACAGGCCTTCTTACCAGCGCCGCGGCGGACGGTACGCATCTCCACCGGACCCTCCCCCTCCTCTCTTCCCACCCCGACCACCACCGCGTCCTCCGCCGCCGCCTCTGGCCGGACGCGAGGGCGCGGGTGGCGGTCTCGCATTTCGACCCCCGGACGAGGGTTGGTAACTATCTCTGCCTCTTCCACCACCACCGCCGCCGCCACGACCACCACGACCCGGACGGCCGTTCGGCGACAGAGACCGCTGTCGATAGCCACCACCACCACCACCCGGCGGCGCAATATTTCTGTTGTTCGTGCCGATGCCAGCTCCGAACCGAATATGTCCGCGATTACTGTTGTTGTCGTTACCGCGGTTGACGGGCTGCTGACGCAGCCGACTCATCATGTCGTCGCTGTCGGAGGACGGTGGGCGGTGCTGGTCGGCCCGACCGCGGATCTTCATCCCGCGGGGGCCCGGCGCTTGGCCGCCTCGGGGGCCGCCGCCGCCGCCACGTCGGCTGCTAACCACCGAGTTGGTGTTTGTGATCATGCCCGGGTCAATGCCGTGGAGGGTCCAGGTGGATGAGAGGAGGGGTTTCTTGAGAGAGGGGCAATCGCCGATGAGGTGGCGGTTGCTGCAGCACTTGGCGCAGGAGATCGAGACGAGGACGGGGCCGGACGTTGGGTCGTTCTGGTTGCTGAGCTTCCACATCATGTCGCAGTCGAGTTCGAGGTGGTCGGACGAGCCGCACAGGTCGCATGGGGTCTCAGAGGCGGAGCCTTTCAGGGCGGAGGGGCAGGTGTCGTCGTCGTGGCCGCGCTCGCGACAGCGTTGGCAGCGGCGCCACGTGGGGCATAGGCTGCTTTGGTGTTCGTTCCAGGCATTGCAATGGACGCACTTGTCTCGGGTTAGTTTATCTCTGCGAGCGGGGTGATGGGTGGCTGTGATTTGGGGAGAAAGCAGGCATACCTCCTTCGAAGGACAGACTTCAGCCAGGTGGCCCTCTTGTAAACACTCCGTACAGGCGATCGGGAGCTGGAGATCAATGGCATTGATGTCACGGTCGTAGAACCTGTACTTCGCCTGGAAGTCCATGTCCTCCCGGTGAAGATCGGCGAGGACGGAGGGAGCTGTCGGGTACCTCTGGGAGTATCGGCGGTGTGCATCTTCCTTCGACATCTTCGGGGAGTCGATGAGATCGTCTTGTGCGCCGCGACGTTTGTACCCATTTGTGACCGGCTCGTACTCATCGTCGCCGTCGGGGGTCAGAATGCCATCCTGAGTTTGACCAAGGTTCTGGCCGGGACCCCGCTCGCCGATGTTCAGCAAGATCGAGTCGTCCGCCTCCGAGTCCAACGAGTCCGAATCATCCGAGTCCACCGATCCCTGCATGTGGCTCGATTCCGCAGAGCTCTCCGCCTCGTCTACCTCGCCCTCCTCCATCTCATCGTCGCGATCGGACTTGTTCGGTGCGGCGTGGCCGCGGTCACTGGCCGAGGAAGTCGACGCGCTCCGACTGCGCCAGAACTTGTCATTGACCGCGTCGAACTTCGAAGCAGCCGGCTTCTGGTTCTCTTCGGTCGCATTGCGACTCCCGCGAAGTGACGTCCGAATCGCACTTTTGCTGCCCTTGTTCCAACTGACGGGTGGTGCTGCTGCTGCGCCGGCGGCGGCGGCGGACTGCGGCTTGTCTGCCGCATCACCTTCCTCTTCGGATGAACTGGTGCCCACAGACTCGCTGTCGGAGCCGGAGGAAGACGTCTCGTCGTCGGGATCTACTTCCAGCGAGTTGGCGCTGAAGGTCGCCCCCTGCGGCACAAAATCCTGGACCTTGCGATCGTCCGCGGCGCCATTGCGTCGTTGCCGCTTGCGAGGGTTCGGGTTCGGGTCGTGGGAGCTTTGTCTGGAGGAGCGAACGGAGGAGCCATTCAACTGTCCAACGGCGGCGGTCCGGGAGTCACCGTCATCGGACGGGGGAGCAGACATGCTGCGAGAAGGGAACGTCAGTGGCGAGGGGGGGGGGAGAGTTGGGTTTGAGGATGATGACTGGAGAAGAGTCGAAAGTGCTTTGTGCAACGCGAAGACTCAAGTTGTGAAGCATGATTGGGGAAATTTACGGAAGGCGGTAAGAACCACTGCAGAAGTCCGTCCGCTGTTTCTCTCCTTACCCAATTGGGATGGCACTTTATTATTAGCCCGTAGCATTGCTATTACCTTATCTTATTTTCTTGTTCGATTTTGGTGGTTACGTACTTCCCTATGCATCATTTGCTTCCCAGACTCTTAACTCAACTTATATATGACTTGTAGTTTGACCTGCAGCAGATCGATGAGCGTCTAGAACCATGCCTCTGCATCGATTGCCGAGGAACTAATGACTTCTGTCCGCGTCTGGATTCTTTGCGGACCGACCGTTCGGTCGGTTCGTTTGGCTTTATCTATTCTTAGTTGTCTGTGTCTGTGTCTGTGTCTGTTCTGTTCCGTTCGGTTTCTGTTTCGGTTTTCCATTGACAACCTAAGTCTTCTCTGTCTGTCTGTCTCCTGGAGCTCCTCGGAGATCGGGGCATCTGTCATCTTTTTTTCCCCCCTTCTGCATCTCGGGACGTAGCCATATCGTACTTGGTGTCCTTTTGCTTTGCTAGATTCAGAATCCTTTCCAAGTCCTTATCTGTTTTACATGATTGTAAGATTACTCGCAGTAACATTTTAATTCTGATTCTGCTGAGAGTTGAGCTGGTTAGCAGAATAGAATACAAGCGGTAACGGGAATACGGTACCGGTGCTCCCGTGACCAACCATCCATCATTCGGGGATCCTCTTCAGATCTCGCCGTCGCCTCTAATCGAAAGTCCAGTCGAACATCGGCCATCCCCCATCCTGCTTGCTAACCTACTTACTCTCTAACTATCTCTCTTTCTTACTTTTGTTGTCTGCCTCGATCAAACTACCTCACCCTCTCTTTTCTTTTCCTCTTATTTTCGATTTCTATCCATCCCACTACTTTGAATCCTACTCCTCAACCTGCGACTCTCTCTTTCCTCGTGCCAAGATTCCCTCCTCCTCCTCTTCCGCCTCCTTTCCGACTATCCCCTCCTCCTGCTCTTCCGATAATACCGCCAAAGTGTCTTCTCTACTCGTTCCCCGTGCCATCTCCTTCCCTCCGGAAGTCGACACTGGCCGACACCGGCTGACTCCGGACTCAAATATGTCTTCAGGCAAGGCTGGGCGGAGGAGACGGTCGAGCAGTATCATTTATCAGGAGCCTCCCGAGTCCATCGAGCGGACCAGCGACCAGGCTGCCCTCCCCAATCTGAATGCGAATTGGGTCAATGCTAAGGGTGAGTTTGCACACACACACATGAAGGCGGGCGCGAATCTCAGCGGGCAGTCAAGCACAGAATGAACGAGGTGGCTGACGGTTGGTACGACGACAATCTAGGTGCCTGGACCATTCACTTCGTCTTGATCGTGGCTCTGAAGATCCTCTTCGACATTATTCCTGGTGTCTCGCAAGAAACCTCTTGGACCCTCACCAACATCAGCTATATGTTCGGCTCTTTCCTCATGTTTCACTGGGTGCGGGGCATCCCTTTCGAGTTCAACGCCGGGGCGTACGACAACCTCAACATGTGGGAGCAGATTGACAATGGCGACCAATACACTCCGACCAAGAAGTTCCTGCTCTGCGTGCCCATCTGCCTTTTCCTTCTCAGCACGCATTACACCCACTACGACCTGACGTATTTCACCATCAACTTCCTTGCTACGCTGGGGGTGGTCATCCCGAAGTTGCCCTTTGTGAGTTGGGCCCCACCCACCGTCTCAGGCGGCAGTATCGCAGTACTAACTTTCTTTCTCTGCCAGTCGCACCGTTTGCGAATAGGCCTCTTCTCTGACATCCCTGAGGAGTAGTCGCTCTCTGCTCCGGTTCATCGAATTTCCTTATCTTAATCCAACTCACATGTTCTCATTTTCCAGACTTGTCCTCCTTCCTATCTTTTTTCTCCATTCTTGCTAATATTCTCCACTTGGCGTCTATGTTGTCTTTTCCCTACGTCTCTCGCTGTCATCACCTTCATGTCCCCCTTTTCTTCCACCCACCCCACACTGTCAGCCATCGGGCTAGGACCTCCGTCCACATTTGGGGAAGACCAAGTGGGGCACTCATCTGTCCAATTTGTACCGGTGTGTTTTTCCAGGGTACCTTCCATGCGAAGTGGGGAGGCAAGGACTGTCGGGGGGGGGGTTCCTCGTTCTGCAACTGGAAATTGGGGTGGAAAGACAATTGAATTGTGGTTTCATCTTTGAAGAAGAAAATTGGGCGATGGCGTGGAAAGGGGACGGCGGGCTACACTAGATGAAGAACCCAAAAATAGGGGAGAAACGGAGGGGTTATTGTACTCCTATTCTCCTTGGCTTCCAGATTATCCTCACCATCATCACTACTACACACTACCTACCTACCTACCTATCCCATCCATTATTACTTCCTGGTGCATTGTCTTGGTAGTTCTGTTGTGAGTAGGTCTGCAGGGTCAAGTCCGCGGTTCGAAGATAAGGTAGCCTCGGGGTCACTGATCTGGGAATAGAAAAAGGGGTCGACGCCGTGGACCGATGATAATGATGTTGGTGTCCTTCTGTTTCCTTTGCGAGATTTGGCAAATCTCAACTCTTCAGCGAAGCGGTACACGCGCTTGTGTCGTCTTGGAAGAAGTCGCAGCAGCATGCACTCCGAATTTCGTATTTCAACTCAAAATCAGTTTCGATAATCTCATCCCGGAGAATATCGATCGAAATTCTTTATTCCTCCTAACCGGCACTTGTTGTACTCAGCTCACAATCAACTCAGCTTCTTTATCAATCACGAACCCCCAAATCCCCAAGCCCTTTCCTTTGCACAAAGCCAGAGATAACGAGATTATACAGGAGAACTCCACAACCCCAATTCCATCCCAAAACTATATAAATCCGCGCCAACCATGCCAACACTAAAGCTCCATCCCACTATCCACAAACCCCAACCCCAAATCCCTCGATTTTCCCAAGAAACCTGACTCTCCAAAACTAACCCAAATCCCCCAGTTCCCCCAAGAACTAACCAAAAATTCCCCTCCCCCTCTTTAGCTGCTGCACCCCCAGACCCACCCCCAAAATGTCCTACTCCAGCACCAGCACCCGCACCACCCCCAGCAGCAGCAGCGCTGGCGCCACCATGCTGGACACGGAGATGGCCGGCTACTTTCGATGGCGGCCGTTCCTGGACGCCTGGCCGAGCAAGAGCATCCTCCGGCTGGTCGTGCGGCGGGCCCGCGAGACCACCACCGCGCTGCACTCGGAGGACGGCTGGGCGCGGGCCAGGACCGAGCTCCTCCTCCGCATGCGCCTGCTGCGCGACCGCTACCCCTACCCCGAGGCGCGGCGCTTCGGCGGCGTCATCTTCTGGGACGACCGCATGCGGTTCTACAGAGAGCTGCTGGAGCGGGATTACTTCTCCTTTGAAGCTCCGCCGCCGCCGCCGGGGGGTGGTGGCCAGCAGGTGAACGGCCAGGTGGACGCCGACGCCGACGCCGACACCCGCGGCTTGGAGATGGCGGACTGCGGCGAGGGCCAGGGCGACCCGACGCCTGAGGCGGTGCGCATGGTCGAGGGGTGGTTGTGGATGCTCGAGGATAATGATCCCCAGGGCGGGGTGTGGGGGCTGTTGATGGATCGGGTGGAGGTTTGATTTCCTGGGTCTCCTTGCCCCTTCCTTACCTTACTGTTGAGGTCAGGTGTCTAGTAGAGTAGACTTTGGAGGCTTGTATCCCGGTCGTTGGGTATGGGTGGATAGTGACTAGGTAGCTCGTGTTTCGGGATGCCTTGGGCTGTCTTGATGGTTACCTTCCTAATCTCCCTCGTTTTCGTGGGGAGTTCTAATGTAAGTTTGGAAAAATCAAAAAAATATGTCTGTCGCTGGAGATGGAAGATTCTTCAGTAATGTATAGTTTGAGACTGGTTTTTGCATCGGTCTGCTTTGGATTGAGTATATATGTTTTTTTGTTGTAGGTTGCTTTCTGTAGGGTTTGCCTTCGGGGCCCTATACAAGGGGTGGTGGTATACGAGAAAGGTGGTTAGCCCTAGTTTTTTCGGACTCCGGCTTCAAGCTTTGGTGTAGTTAGTATTCTATCAGCACACACGCGTATGTTATTCAAGTGCAATTACTATTGTAAATTAGATAGCTTATGTGGCATGCAATATAGTCATACAAAGACTCTCATATTCAATTTAAGCAGGTCAGACTAAACCCGATCATCGCGGCATCCTTTCAGCGGCATTCCTAGCTAGCCTCCTAGATTCAATGACCAGGGACAGATACAGCCAACAACACAATTAAAGCCCCGCAACCTTCCCCACATACACGTTGAAGTTGTAATACCTGTTGCACTGGCCCTGCACCGCCAACCCGCCCTGCCCACTCAGAATCGTCTGCCCATTGCGACTGACGGTGAACGTCTGCGGGCCCACCCCCATCGAGACGTTCGACGTCACGATCCCCGCAGGCACCTCGATGCGCACGGGGCCATTCGACCCACTGGTCACCGTCAGCGTCGCCGGGCTGGTCAGCATGGTCGCCACGAAGATACTGTCCCCAAGCATGGAGATCCCGTTCGGGGGTCCGAGGTTGTCCTCTGGGCACGAGACCCCCTTCGGCGTGGGCCGGTACCAGTACACCAGGCTGTCCTTCTCGATCCGCGGGGTGGCGGCCCCGGACTTGTACGCCGCGATGTAGGGCTGGTACAGGTCCCGCCAGGCGTCGTGCGGCATGCCCTTGGCCCACTTGGAGGACCCGTCGTCGCTGTGGTTGGCGGCGTAGGGCCCGATGTAGTGCGATTCGCCGTAGTCTATTTTTCAGTGTGGGTATGTATATAGACAGTGGGGGGCTGTCCTGCTACGGGCTTGTGGGGTATGTGCTTACCATTCCACGAGATGATCTCGACCAAACTGGGCCGGAGACTCAGCATCTGCTCCCACCGAAGGGTCGGCAGGTTCTCGCAGATGAAGACCCAATTCTTGCTGTTGAAGTGGGTGGCGAACCAGGGCGAGACGGCTGTCGCTTTCGTTAACCCAACTGGAACCCTCCTTGCAAGCACATTTTTAAGCCAAGTTAGAGAGTTGCGGCTGAAGACTCACGCGCCATATAAGTCGTTCCGGCCAAGTCCTTGACGAACCGATCATCCCAGATCGTCGTCATCGGACCCCTGATGATGCTATTGCCGCCATCGGTGGGCCAGGCGTACCACGAGAACGCGCCGTCCGCGGCCCGCGCCCGGTTGCTGGACGCCTCGGCCGGATCCTGCAGGTTCGGGAGCGCGTGGATCGCATGCGAGGTGCCCTGCTTCACGGGGCCCCAGTTGAAGCTGTCGCCCACGAAGGTGCTCACCACCGCGCCGCCCCGGTACTGCATCTGCGCCGGGTGGCTGGCGTACTGCTGCATGTAGGCGGTGATCTTGGCCGTGTCGCCGTTCGTCCAGTACGCGAAGTCGAAGGAGATGAAGACCTTGAAGCCGACCTGCTGCGCCGCCTGGTAGGCCAGCGCCAGTTGGGTTGGGGTGTACTTGTCGATGCTGGCGCAGTTGAGCGCGAAGGCGTCGATGCCGATCGCTTGCGCCGCTTGCATGTCGGCGATCCAGTCCTCGACTTGGTAGTTCTCGACGATCCCGACCTGTGGATATGGGGATTTAGCTTTGATGAGATGGACTTGACTAGTGGAAGGGGCGAGACACTTTGACGTACCATGAAGTGGGCAAAGACATATCGGTCTGAGGCCTGGGGCTCATCGCGTTCAACTTCGACAGTGGGGAAACCCCAGACTGGTTGAAGAGTGCCTAGCACAAGGACGACCAGTTGTAGAAAAGTATTCCAGATCATGCTTGCTTCTTCAAGTAGCTGTTCAAAACTTGAGGTGCTCCCTCATTTCCTGGGGAAAGAGCCCAACCCCGGGCTTTTATGTTGATACACTCGCCATTCTCCCCCGGTTTGTGCCATTGAGCAAAAGGGAAGCACATTTCCCCTCCTTTTCTTCATCCCGGAGCACATTCATCGTCGTTCACCTCAACCAGAACATCTTAGAGGCTCGAGATTGGAGTCGATGAGACCGGTGCAACCCATGGCTGCACCTCAGAAATTAAGGTTATGCGCGATGCTGAACCACGTGAGATGCTGCAAACCGTCCGAGCTCTTCTTCCCACGGGCGATTCTCGATCCTACAGTAACACTCGGAGATTTAGTCTTCCAATTGACCAACGCTGGCAAGCTTCTGACCTGGTCACATTCATCGTTGCGGCTCGGCAGCGGCAAACAGTGACAAGTGACAAGTGACAAGACTGTAAGTTATGCAGTACCTGCCCATGTCAAGGTACGAGCCGAGCCGCTTTTCCGCATTGACGTCTTCCATGGACAACGTCCTCTAGCTTCGCAGACAAAAGTCCGGACTCAAAGCAAACGTGTGCGTTTGTCGCGATGCAACAAACCTGTTTTACTTGCGTTTTACTTGCTTCGCAGAGCTCTCAATTGGCGGTCTGGAGCTGAAACTTCCCACGATCCGACGACATGCTCAAATGTCACTACCTAGTCTTCACGGCATTGCCGTCGTGCATGCAAGCCGTGTACGACGTCGGCTCGACTGCATCAGGCGAAGGGCGTAAGACAACTACGGACGAGAATTGGCTTTGACGTCGGACCCAAATGCTCAGTGTTTGCTTGTGTAGGGACTGGCATGTCGCAACTACTGTACATCAACCCCAGTGACCAGTCAACGGCCTAGATACACCTTGCAGAGGAATGAAACCACCCCAACCACAGCAAGTGCCCACGGACTTCATGCCCCAGCATCAGCAGCTTCTCACGTACGCTGTCTGGCAACACGGATAAGCTGGACCCTAAAATCCCTGTGAACCGAAGGGTTCCACTCCCTGAAGAGCGCAGTCAACGAAGGCTGGGTTCCGAGCATGACCGTACTCAGCTTCTCCAAGTCGGGGTCGTTCTCTTGGTTGTTGCTGCTGCCGCTGGCTTCCCATTCCATTTCACGGTTCGCTGGAACCCACCTCCCCTTCAGCGTGGCTTCCGATACCTCGAATCTCCACGGCTGTTTCCCTTCCATCGCATCGCTCTCAAATTGTCTCTCGTCATCCTCCTGTTCATGGACAACCAGGTACACCGCTTTCACGCCCCGCCATCGGAAAAAGGCGCCGACCAGGCTCCCCGGATGTTCCTGGAGCAGCCTCATCAGCACCGCCACCGACCGCAGCGCCCGCTCGGGGGCCGGAAAGGTGATGAACGTCGGTTCTCGTGCTACTACTCCACCCACTTCGCGGTATCCGGGCACACTCTCCGCCTTGCGTTTCTCCTGGATGAACCCATCCCACAGCTCGCGGGGACGTAGAGGGTGTCGGTCTCCGGGGAGAAGGGACGAACGAGGATGTGGTGGTGGTGGTGGTGGTGGTGGGACGGGGACTTTTTCGGTCTCATCCACGACGAGAGAGTCTCCGCGTTTTGCTTGCCCACCCAGCACAGGGCGGTCCCGCGAGCCTCCCAGTTGACGAACAAGTGCGGGAGCTCGACCGTGCGAGGGCGCACTTGGCCGTGCTGGACGTCGATGCTCTGGGGCACCACCGCCGCGAGGGTGTCGTAGGCGTGGGTAGTCTGGCGCTGGCGCTGGCTGTAGAAGTAGAGGGGCTGGTCGATGAGCTCGGGTAGGGCTTCCTCCCAGATCTTGAGACGAAGCTCAGCGGGCAGCTTTGGGAACTTGGGGAAGGAACTTCTTGTTGCCATCGCTCTGGTGAAATGTGTTCGAGACTGTTGTGATATGGGGTATAGGCTTGATGGAGTCGGCTCAACAAGACACTCAGTTCACTGAAAGATATCTTACCAGTACGAGTTCCAAGACCGAATAGCGATCAGTCTTGCAGATGTCGTCACTTTTTGATGCACAGCAGTAAATCCAAGCCAACCTTCTTTGAAGATCAGCTAGCAGAATTTGTGAACAGCGTTGAGATGAAGGTACTCAGGGTGATCTGATGCTCCTAGAGTAAGGTAGATAATCAGTGAGAACGGCTTCTTCTTGTAACAGTGGCAGTGGGATCTCACTTCTTCATAACCATGAGAGTGGGTGTTATATTGATGAGAATGATAACTTCTTTCAAGAATGTTTTCTGCACTAAGCTCAGTGGGGACGTGTCCCGCGTCTTCACATGCTATACACATTCACAACAAGAAAGCAATCATTCACTATGGACACGGGCGTAAACTGCCTACAGTCTTGATGGCAACAGTATTTCACCGGTATGAACATCACGTGAGCGATCAACATCTTGCTGAGACCTGAACTCTTCTACATTCTGATGCCCCCATTGCCGGAAACATGCCGACCCGCATCGATCGTTGCTCATGGACCTTATTTTTGATATATGATGCAAAACTGACTGTACTTAGGGTGTCCTTTACTGGATTAATGCGCCAAGACCAGAGAAACGGACCTTTGATAGCAGATGTATAGAGTGTTACCTACATATACCGAGCAGCTCATCAACTGTAGAGGCTGCTGAGGAAGGGTGGAAGGTTTGGGGTTGATAGACATGTATGTACTTCAACATCCATGTATATGGCTGGATGAAGGTACTACGCCAGGCTAATTTGTGAGTTGAGGTTGCCACCACGCCGTCCATCTGGCTACCAGAAGCAAGAATCAAATATACACACACCTGTACACATACAGATTTCCAGAGACCTGAGCATGGTAATTGGCAAAAGGCCGACTAATGGGCACTGATGTGCACTATATTATGTATACCTATGCAACAGTCTGGCATCAAAGTTTGTACACAAGACTCTAAAATTGAGGCCAACATTACAACAACAGGTGCTGTGGTCTAGTGGTATGACGTCACGTTGTGGCCGTGCCAGCCCCGGTTCGATTCCGGGCAGCGCCACTTCTTTTTTGGTATGCTTTCTTTTTACTTCTCTGCCATACTCTATGACATTTGAAGATAATTGCATTCGAAGATAATTGGTCATACCATTGTCCAACAAGCTGTTCGGAACTTGATTTATCTCATACTTATATACACAAATACAACTGGCTACATGCAATGCGGCAGAAGCAAACACGTCCGATGCGGCTATCGATAAGCGCCGCGTTTCTTTGACCGGCTATCAGCCTTTATCGGCGCGATTCTTTCTCTCCGCGCATCGCAGCTCTTCCTCTCCAATCTTCACATACATCATCCTCTGCAGCTATTTTGATGGCTATCCTAGAAGGTGCAGAGGCATCTATGCCTCTCTATCGCCCTGCTAAGCCGCTTCCCTTCGAGCTGGTCCAGCACTCTGGCATTTTCCTCGAAGAGAAGCTATGTATGTCTCGCTCGACACAGTCCATCTACTTCTTTGTTTGCGAATGCTCACATTTTCTACCAGATACACAAGCTCTTAACTTTCTATTAGAAATCCTCACTGCCGGTACCATTGCTTCCATGCCAGCATTCGTTCCACCTCCTCAGCACCTGGCTGTCGCCGCGACCTTCCTTGTACACCCCTCTACGACCACTCGCGCAAAGACAGCCGAGGAGGAAGAAGCCCCCAATGCATCCCTCCGTCTCCTCCGCCTCACAAACGCGCTCGTTGGGCCCAGAGCCGCCAAGTTCGGCCTCGCGTTCTCCTTCACGCACTTCGAAACATCTCGCCATGGCCGCCGACGTCGCGGGGCCGACGACGCGCCCACCTCGCCGGATGCGACAGAGGATATCATGACGCCGATAAACCTCGACCTGGGGGAATCACAATCCATCTGGTCCCGTGCGGAGGACTTCTGGCATGCCGTCGGCTGGGCTTTCAACTGCTCTGTTCTACACCACGAGCGCTGGGAACACTGGCGGATCTGGCTCGAGTTCATGTGCGAGGTGCTCGAAGGTGACTGGAATGAGCGACATAAACAGTGGACAGAGATCAAGGACTCCAGCACGAACGCCGTCGAGGTGAACGTTGCGAAGCGCAGGTCAAAGACCAGGGCCAAAGAGAATGATGCAGCCGATCAGATACTCAAAGACAGCCTCATCGTGCGCTACATCGAAGGCGCTAGCGCCACCTACGGCCGGAATCGTCGAATCGTGAAATCTATCTTCGCCGATGGCCGGGCTACAACCTCCAACGAGTTCCGCGTGGTCTTTGAGAATGAACTCAAGCATGGCAAACACAAGAAGTCCAGCCACAATAGCAAGAAGCGCGGGATGCAGGTCAACATCGACGCAGAAGAGTATGGGGACTATCTGACCGACGAGGAGGAGGACGAAGACAGTGTTGACGCCGACGACACCACCACGACAGATGACATTATTGTCGAAGACGCCGAGCCACGGCCGCAACAAGGACGCGGCCGTGGTCGTGGTCGTGGTCGTGGTCGCGGCGGCGCAGGGACTCCAGCCTCGTCGAGACGAGACGGTGGTGGTGGTGTTGCCCTCCGGCAATCGAAACGAGCCCGACGAGGTACTCGCCCGCAAGAAACTCGCCCAGAACCCACCATCTTCACCACTCCGGCAAATTTCCTGACGCCCGACAACTACGGCACGCCTACAGGCACGTTCAAATACTCCAATCCTACCTCTCAACGCTATGTCCCGGACGACCAGATCCCCCCCGGCCACCTCGCCACCATGCACGCCGACCCCTGCACCCTCGGCGGCATGCGCTCGCTCACCCTCCGCCAGCGCCTCCTGCACCTCCTCTCCACCGTCTCCGAAACCATCCCCGAACACTTCATCCCGCTCGAAGAGCTGTATCATCTCTTCGCCGAGAACATCCGCCACCTGCCCCTCCCCTCGTACCAGGCCTTCATCAGCCCCACCGCCCTCCCGCACTTCCCCCCGGCCGCCCTCACCACCCTCTGCGAGTACCTGCTCTTCCGCATGCGCGAGTCCGCCGCCCCCGACACGGCGGACGAGTACCTCAGCCAAGCGAAGCTGGAATACTGCTTCCTGCCCTACGGGGCGAACACGAACTCTCCCGCCGACAACGCCAAGATCTCCATCACCCTGGAGACGCTGATCATCCTGCTCGCCGACAACGACATGCTGACCGTGACCCCGGCGCTGAAGGAGGCCGTCGGCGAGGGGATCATGGCCCGCGAGCAGCGTCCGATCCTTGATGGGAGGAAGAAGCGCGAGGCCGACCTGCATGCGGGCGACATCGAGTGGGCGTGGCTGTTGGAGAGCGGGCGGAGGCTGTGGTTCCTGGTCGAAGAGATCATTCCGCTGACGCAGGGGAATGAGGATCATGGGATGACGGTTGCCACGGTTTGAAAGGCTTGGTTCCCAGTGAGAAGACTGATTGTGGGTGGTGGTCCTAAGCGTTTGCATCTGCGAGTCGGGCAATTGTAATTTGTCTTGTCGTGCCTAGCCTGTGTTTGTTGATCGTGTTTGTCTCTTCTTGTTGTTGTTGTTGTCTTTTATATTCCGGGCGAATTAACCTAGGAAGTGCTTCTTCTCGAATAGTCGGATAGATACCCTGTTGTTGTGATTGTAGCAGAGCTGATGTTTCTTGATTTGAGGATCTGAATTACATTTTTAATTCTCGTTCTTCCCTTTACTTATCATTCATCTGAAGAAAACTTTCGTACTACAGACCCCACCAAGCCAGGGTTCCTTTCCAACTGGACCAGTCAACGAAAGCAAAAACCAACAAACCGCATACTAAATGCACATCAATTCCCAAATAGTAGCTATCATGCCGACAGCCAAAAAAAAACGGGTATAAAATAAGGAACATCCTCAGTAAGCTAAATCCCCTCCATCGATCCATCACTAGATCTCCCAAAACATCCACCAGATCTTAGCCAACCGCTACCTACCAACTACATTTCCAAGCACATCCCCAGCGCAGACGCATTCCGAGAAAGCTAAACAGGCACAGTGAGTTTTCTCCAAGTGACAAGATCAAGGCGCAGGCCGCGGCCCAATAATCTGCCTCCGGGCGCCGCCGACCCCGAGTCCGGGGCCGCCGCGGTTCTGGTTGTCGCCGCCCATGTAGCCGTACTGGTGGACGTCCCAGGCGCCCTGGCCGGGGCCGGAGCCCAGCGAGCCGTCGCGGAGTCCCCGGGCGGCGGCCTCCTGGGTCTGCTTCTGGCTCTCCTCCCACTCGCGCTGGCGCTCGCGCTCGCGCTCCATCTCGCGCTCCAGCAGGGACTTGGAGGCCCAGCCGCCGGCCTTGGTCTTCTGCTGGGCGGCGAGGCGGCGGTTGTTCTCGGCGTCGACCTCGGCGGTCGTCGTGTAGTCGGCCGGGCGGTGGGTGGTCGGTTTTGGGGAGGTGGGGGGGTTGTTGGTGGTGAGGAAGCGGTCGACTCTTGTTGAGGGGGAGGCAGGCACGGGGACGGGGACGGGTTTGCGGATGGGGGATTGAGGCGGAGAGGTGTAGGTTGCTGGATCGGGGAGAGGACGCGGGGGCATTGCCGGGGG